ATCTGTGCCTGGACATAATTGTGAAATTCCTAAGCTCAATATAACAGCGCACAAGTGCGACGTCGAATTGTCACCTGTGCATTCTACGGTGGATATCTAATATTGTAAGAGTAATCCTGTATTATGTGTCCCTCCCAAGTTTGACATTCCACAAAGCTTGTAAACTTCACCAATGCACAAAAAAGGGGAAAACAGCTGAGAAAAAGAGTACCGGTAGTATTTTTTTTACAGATAAACAAGTGTTGTGAGGCTGCCGCATTCCATAGTCGGCAGGGAAAGAGAGTAACATTTCAGGAAAGGGATTAATGAGCGGTATGTTGAGCTGGCGACAAATTACCCCCAGTAAAAACTACAATCGTGGACATGCGAAAATGTGCCTAAATGGACAGCACACCTGCCGTATTATGAATGTAATTTTCACGCTTGGATTAGACGATACGCTGATGAGAAGATAACAGTGATACGTGACATATTTGTCTTTGTCCCAAACTGACAGATGCATGCATATCGTAGAGTTATTGCACCTCCAGATGTAAACAAATTGTTGTTGCACAATGCCGCGGATCCTTACTTTTCGCAATTAAATCAAAACAATTTTAACTACTCAAAGGTAAATGTGCATCGCTTTGAAATGGCAATTATTTTATTCGGATTCAAAATAGGGTGTCCTTGAATGTAGAATATCAATGTCTAACTATTAGTGCAGAACTGAGAAATAATTGCAAACAAAGTGTGCACATTCCAACTTGACAAGGACCCCCCCCCCCCCACAAAAAACATTAAAAAAAATTACATGCTCTGTCTGAAGGGACTTTTTCAGTTATTCTCTGAAGAAATAAAGATGTTTTAATAAAGATACCCCACTACAGCTTTAACTCCTACAGTATGCCACCAAGTTTTCAAACTAAATTATAATTGAACTCTAAAAGTTAAGGTCTGAATTTTCATTCTTTAAAGGTTGTACTGGATGAAAGATACATGTACATATTTATTCTGAATGCCAACATGCTGTTTTTGCCGAGTATCGGCTGCCTGCTTACAAATTTTCCTACGATACCTCTGACATTTTATTAATTTTTTCATAGGACAAAGCCTACCCTTGGCTACTACAAACCACAACAACCTATAGACACATAGCCATCAGCAATGTCACGCCGATTGTCAAGGGCTCCTAAAGAAGCTTTTTTTGGCGCTAAAGAGGTCACTGGTAATGACAGATCAAGAATTGACTTTGAATCGAGTGTCCCCGAGTCACCCGCTCTGTAACGGCGATGATGACTGATTACTAGAAGATAACAATACAATGTGAGCAAACGTTGCCAATTTGTAGCCAGTCGCTCACACGGAGAACCCATTTTGGTGGAGGTTTGATGTCGTCACCGATATGAATGCGGCACAACCAACGGGACCTTGGGGCAGTTTGCAAGAAGAAAAAAATCAAGGCACAAGGTCATGTCGATGGGAAAGAACCCGAGGATATGCTTTGAAGTACCGGGCTCTTCTCGGACGGACGAGAAAGAAATGAGGTTACCTTCAATATCTGCTATTAAAGCAGAATAACTATTCTTAAAAGGGAACGATGATCACTTTTTGTATCTATGGCTGTATTTTGGGACTAGTGTCTGGTATTTCTGTCTCCAATTTTCATTCCAATCTGAAAATTGCGGACAGGGTCACGAGTGCACTAATGAAGCACAATCGTACCATCCCTCTCTCTCTCGATCTCTCTCAAGTCTTGCTCTTGTGGAAGTGTGCTACGAGTCAATATAGCTCATTGGCAGAATGCTCGATTCCTTCAATAGTTACATGTTGTATAACATGGGTACTTCATACTCGAATCGTGAAAATAAAAAGGAAGCCGCAGAAGGGGCAGAGAATAATGAAGTTTGACCACCCCCCCCCCTATTTTTTTTTTATCTCTCCATCTCTCTCTCTCTCTCCTGCCCATTGAATTCAAAGAAATTCCAGAGCGATCACCTTGTAACAGTGGCATCTCAAATTTGTACTTGATAAAATCGGCTTAGTTCAGTCAGTCAATTAAACGGGCATTAACCTTTCCGCCAATTTTTTGCCAGCCCAAGCAGTGTTGCAGGCCTAATTAGACTTGTGCAGGCCAGTCAAGTTGAATGGGCAGAGGATAGCTACCCATACCCTACAACACATGCTTCACGGGTGACTGCTTCTTCGTCAATTTTCAGGCACAAATCAGTCTTCACTTCAATTTATTCTGAACGAAACAATTCATGTTTCTAACCCTACCCCGACCTCTAAATCTAATCTTAATCCCTGTTGCAATCCTAACGCTAACCCTCGTTCTTATTAAATGTAAATCTGTGAGGAAACAAAGCACAGAGCAAATATCATCGAAGAGTATGGGGGACTACTGTTGGGCATCCTGATTATGTAGGGATTAACAGATAGAGAACTCAGAATTGTCTTCTTCATTGCTCAACAAGATTGTTAACTTTTCTTTACTTCAGGAACCAACTTAAATACACTACATGTAATTCATAGAAAGATATGGTGAAGGAAGAAAAAAAAACAGTGAGTTTGGTCTATTAATGAGGATGCTCAGAACAAGAAGAAGTGGAGGGAGGAAGTGTCATCGTGGCGCGAAAGTCAGTAACCCCTCGTTAGAGAGAGAAAATGATGCCTATATCTTTTTAAAAATTAATAAATTTCATGCTGCACACAAGATATACAACCCACCAATTCTGGTAGCTTAGAAAACACAAGCTACAGAGAATTGACCCAATAAATTACCATTTCCGTGTTTCTTTGCTCAGTTAATAATTGACATTTTGGGTCGCAACATCTGACATTTGTCTTAACAATCACAAATTTGCGGGCCTCCCCTGCACAACTAATTACGCCACGGTGTCGACCACTCGTGACAGAGGTCTATTAGACTGGAGCTAATCTCAGCGTTTTATTGTCGACGATGATGACAGTCCCATTCATGACAAATTGTGTGGGGGCGGGGAGGATGGTCATGTAATGACAACGTGTTAACCCCTGGATAATAGCGTTACTTTTTCTTGATTAGTCCTGAAAATGTCATTTATTCCTCATCATCTCGCCCAAGCGATTCCTCGCCCACTCATCGATAGATTATAATGACTACCTGATGGTCTTTTTAAGGGGATTTAATAGCAATATGTTGCATGCATACAGCAATTATCAAATTCCTTGGGGATCTATTAAAGAAAACCAATGAGGTACTAAAAATATATATTTCAAATGAATTACCTTGCCCATATGAACAGCTTTTAATCATACCTTTCAAAGCAAAAGTAGGGTATTTCAAATCATATTTTCCTTTTTTCCACAGATAAATTTGTATCAAGTCCCTTTTATTACAAATCATTCAGCATAAATGCTCAATAAAAACACCTGATATAATTGATAGATATATCACTACCTGCAATTTATTTGCTTATGCACATAACAGACACATACATGTAATGGATACTATCATGAAAAGAATGAATTTCAAGCACAAAAATGGGGAAAAATAGAAAATAGGAAAATGGATTTGCCTTATTTCCTTGTGTTGTATGTAAATACATGTAGAACCCCCCCCCCCCTCCCCAACTTCTCTAAATCACCTTCAGTAATTTTGCAAAGCATATCATTCTTTTGTCTACCATTCAAAGGAAAACATTTCTACAAATCGATGATCTTGACCAAAACTAGTTCTTCAAACTAATTCCTATGAGTAATAAATTTTAACTTTGAATTATTCTGGAGTACTCTTTTCAATTGTAGCAAAAGCTCTACAAATTCCACTAGCAAAAGTCATCCCTTACATGCCATTAACAGACAATTAAACAAAAAGTGGTGCACTGGCCAAGAGAGAAAAGTGAGTCATTGACCTGGTGTGGTGTGACTTTCAAAATGGCAGAGGAATGGGGGCAAATGATGTATCATTGCAAAAACATTTCCTCTCCTTTAGTACCATGTCTAGTGTCTTTCTTTACCCATTCCTTCATGCTTTCGTTATTATTCCCGCTCTGCAAACAAAACGTCTTCAGGAAAGATCAAAAGAGTCGCAACGATCGGTGACCTCATATGACTTTCTTTCAGTAGGTAATGACTTCTGGTTAGACCACAACCAAGGGTTGAAGGTCGTCAAATTGGGCAGCATTTCAAAAAATGCATTTGATCGGGAGTACTTGAAGAATCACCTTTGAATCAATTATTAACCAATCACTAATTAATCCCCCTCTCCATTCTTTTTTTTAGGGCTTCAATATTACACCATATCACAGACACTGATAACACGTAGTGCCATGCATCTCAGATTTGTAAAACTGGAAACATTGCTAAGCAGAAGGGCCTTAAAGATACTATGTCCCTTTTGCAGCCAACCTCAAATTCTGTAGAACTTTGCAGAAATTATGAATATGTCATGTATGTCCTATCTGTGAAAGTTAAACGTTAGCAGTGTCCTAATATTCAAATTATGCAAGGAAACCCGTTTACCTGCTAGACTTCACTGTCAGACACTATTGAGTGACTGACTGGCTTTTTTTTCTTCTTTGGTAATAACATACATAAAATGAGCTGTAAAGGGTACATGAGCATTTGTCTACATCAATAACCCACTTCTTGTAATGGCCAAAATTAAACTGATTGAATATTTGCGCAGCATAAAACGTACGACCATTCGGTACAATGGTCTGAAAATCAAGACTATTACTTATTGGCTCTATAGCTCTTAAGTCAATTCGACAACTAATAGTCATTATTTTCCCACTTAAAGACATTTTCAAGCCCCCCTTTTTTTAAGGTACGTTCTAAATTAGTACTTATTATCCTTCAAATGCCGTTGGAATTGAACTTTTTCATTTTTTGGGCCTGCAAATGGGACATAGTACCTTTAATCTCTTTAGATACCCATTAAAAATTAACCCATTGCCTTCGGGATGCAGATGGTTGCTGTATCAAGTCTATGAGAATGAAAAAGTTCAGGAGTCAACAGGTTAAGATTCCCTTACCTTGATCAAGTCTTGCTTCATGTCCTCCAAAGAATATGTCTTCTTCTCCTTTGATCCTTTGTTTGCCTGTGTGAGAGAAAGGAAAAGAAAAGATGAAGATGAAAACTTCATTATTATATCACACAGTTGCACTGGAGAAACTGGAAGAGGAACACTTGTTATATATTGGCATGAAACAATATAATAATGTATGGGAAGGCTTATTGGGTTTTAAATGAACTTGAATATAGTGGTTATAAAGATAAACCAATTTGTTTCCAGTTTGTTAAAGCAGATGTACGCACATGTACTGGTATATTGGGTAAGAAACAAAATGCTGTCATTGATACATATTGGATTATCACACAGATACAATAAGTAAATGCTGATTTTCCCCCACATTTATGGGCTGAGATTATGTAGCACAGTTAATCAAGTATTTTCTAACAGTTCCATGCTATTTGGATGTCCCTAAATAATAATAAAAGGTCTGTGTGTGTTTGTAGGGGGGGGGGGGGGCATTGTGCTCTAAGAGACATTCTGTCAAGGTGCCAATCAACAATCATGCATATTCATGATGAATGGCCACACCCACACCTCAGCGCATCTATTCACAAGCCCCGCCTCCATCTGAACACTGGATATCGGTGTATAATTGCAGTACATGTACTTCATGACTGATGTTAGTTCTGCCACATTATACACAATAATTATCTCTCTCTCTCTCTCTCTCCCTCTATCTATCTACTTCCCCTCCTCTCTCCTTCACCCTTACTCCTCTCCCCATCTCCTCCCCCATCTCCTCCTTCACCCTTACTCCTCTCCCCATCTCCTCCCCCCATCTCCTCCTTCACCCTTACTCCTCTCCCCATCTCCTCCCCCCATCTCCTCCTTCACCCTTACTCCTCTCCCCATCTCCTCCCCCCTTCCTCTCCCCCACCTTCACCAATGCCCCTTCATTCTCATTCTCATTTTCATTCTCTCTCTCTCTCTCTCTCTCTCTCTCTCTCTCTCTCTCTCTCTCTGTCAGGGATGCCAGTTAGAATTGATCAGAGGGCCTGAAAATCACCTAGAATGAGCTATTTTGTACACAAAAAAGCCCAAACTATGGTCTGAAAATAATTCGCCAGGGCTTGAATTCAGGCTATTGCCTGAAAACTGGCATCCCCGTTCTATTTGGGTCTATATCTCTCTAGATCACTTTTCATTTTTCCCCACTCATTCCCTGCAGTCAATTAAACATTTTCTCTTTACAACTCTTTATTCTTTTCTCTCTTCTTGATACAAATTCCATAATTCCATTATGTTCCATAAAATTCATGAATCCAAGCTTCATTCCCCCTTTTCAATCCAGTTCTATCGCAACCAGTACTGTAATTGGCGTAGACCTACCCTTCACCCTCCTTGGGGATCATTTTTTGGAAATTAATATATTACCATGTATGACCCAGTTTGAACTTATTATTAACACTTGGTGACTCATCGAGGAATTCCCTCTTTAAAAAAAAAGGAAAAAAGGAAAGAATACTAATAACAAAGAGAAAAATAATAAGCACTATAAAAAGCTAGAGTAGTTTCCCTGAACTTTATCCCCCACGTGGCTCTAAGAAAGGATAAAACATAAAGATCTGAAATAGTTGTCCATCTTTTGAAAGACAAGAATCGCAAATCAAACAACCCCATTTGGATGACTAACTGAATTAGTCATCTTCAGTTATCAGGAATGTTTTAGATGGGCTCTACAACTGCGATAACCTAAGCAAACAAGGGTCTCGACTTCTAAAATACAATTAATAGAATTTTTAAAAATACCACCTCCCCCTCAAAGACTTGACAACTCCAAGGGCACCCTAACAAATGGAAGAATTTTCCTTTGTCAAATTTGATCAGCTGTACCCCCTAGTGTTAACAGGGCAATAAACTCCATCATATTGTAATATTTGGGATGACTAAAGAGAGAAACTTGCAAAATCGTGATAAATGCTAATGAAAATGCTAAGCAATTTTGCGCTAACATAGTGAGGGGACACCACTGACAAAAAAGCCCCCCCCCCCCCCCAAAAAAAATATACATTCTCGGATTGCATGTACTTTTTGTATGACATTTTGAGAAAATAAATATTAAAAATCCTAACTATATATGATTTCCTTTGCAAGAGAAGCATGACCATAATTAAAATTCAAAAGAGAAAAGTTGGTGAAAAAAAGAGAAAAAATAATGATAAACGAGTGCGAGACACAAAAAGAGTGTATGAGAGAGAGAGAGAGAGAGTCCAAAAATACACAATCATAGTAGTTATCTTTTACAGATCTCCTAATTTCACACAAATGTTGAAGATAAACATGCTTTGTGAAAGGCTGCATTCAATTAAAACAAGATCTTCTTTCATTATAAATTGAATGCAAGGAAAAGAGCATGTTATTGCTAGTAATTATTATCCAAGGTTGATGGTCTTAAGAGGAGGTCGAGTTCTGGGAAGAGGTGAAAAATAATTTGTGAGCGTTATCATTGTTATTATGCAAGTGTGGAAGAACATCAGATACAAAATGTTCCCTGAAAAGCATAGCTCTTCAAATGCTTTCATATTCTAAATATGGCATGTAACAACAATGTTCGCGTAGCCCCATATACATATTTTTGTGTACAGGTGCTTGTAACTTTACCAAGACTGACCTTAGCTTTTTTTTTAAAACAACTCTTTTGCCTTAAAGTTAAATGACTTTTTTTTCCAAGTTTGGTATAAATCTGTAATGGTGTGAATGGGGGAAGATATGAATTACATCCTCAATAGATTAAAAGGAACAACAAGTCTCATCCTAATCCCTTGAGGTTCTTAGAACACCCTCTATTAAACCAGGGATTAATCCATCATTTTTAATTTGTCAGGACGGGAATACTGGGCATATCATATTATGGTAATAAAGGGATTGGGTATCTTTGCCTCAGATTCTAAATAAAATCCTGGATTTAGCTCATGCTGCAATCATAATTATAAACCTTTAGGTCAGTCAGGAATCCCATCCGATCGCCTGTCTGATCATCAAGATATTTGTGAGTGGAATTAGAAATATCAAAAACTGTTTGCCAAACGGTTTTGAACAGTTTAGTCTATTGGGGAAAATGAGTATGGTAAAACCTGTCACTCAAAGTTTTTTTAATTTTTTGAAGCCCTTCCTGAGCATTGTGAAGCGCAGTTTTTCCAGGGCTTCAATATTACACCGTATCACAGACACTGATAACAGGTAGGGTCATGCTTCTCAGATTAGTAAACGATGCCTTTAAAAGCATTATTAAGCAAGTTATTACAGACGGCCACATCACCTTGAAGACATGTGGACGAATAAAACAGAAGGTGAAGACATTTGAATAAAATACCCCCCTCGGGTGTCCGTAAGAGGAGCATTTATGATAGGATAACAAGCTTTTAAAGCCTGTCTGCCCTAGTTTGGCATGGAGGGATTTGACCTCCCTGCATGGTCACTGAGAGGTAGTTATCTCATCAAATCAGCTCTCAATTAACATAAGAAAAAGGGAACCATGGGGGACCAACAGTCACTGATTATGCATTGTTTGCTCTATAGAGGGCCAAAGTAGTTACAAGTAGTGCAGTCCCGCTTTAAAAAGGTTCCTGTAGTGCTTAGGGGTCTGGTTTACTGAAGCGATATTGCACAGAAGCGGGTGGCCATCCTTTGTTGTTTTTCAGTTTGCATCATGGTTGAAATAAACAAATCAATCACAGAACGAACGACACAAGGATTCTCTTGCTACAACAATACTTGGTTACTCTGAAACCAGTTGCCAAAGAGGGCTACAAAGAGGTCTGTGGTTGGCCCCAGACCATTTCCGGATTATTTGTCAATCCCCATATGACAAAACAACATAATTTTGTTATTTAATAATAACATTCTTTTACTCATCAAACTATTTTGGCAATATTGCTCTACCAGGTACTCAAAAGGCAATTTATCTTCATTTCTAGAGTGTTATTGATTTGAAACGACTTGAAACTAAAACAAAATAGGAGATACCGGTACACCATCGCCCTAGATGCATGGTTAGTATGATGACTATTCCCAGAATAGCATTAGCAATTCAGTCTGGGGATTAAGATTGTAATTACTGGCTTAAATAAAAGTCTTTTCATGTAAAAAAAAATTTTATTTTGTATTGTTATACATGTACATGTAGGTATGCCAGAAAGCTGAAAATTTTGATGAGCACAACATCAACATAAAAACTGTTTGCTAGTTAATTTCTAAAAACTGAAGATGTTGATAATGAACGCAATTGTTCTAGGAAAGAAAGAGGGGAAAACAACTCTGATAAATTGTAAAGCTAGTTGAATAATGCTTAATTGAAAGGAATTGTCCATTGAGAATAGTCTGAACAGAAACAGCACACACATACAAAAAAAAGAAAAAGAAAAGAAGAACAAAAAGTTTGACAAGTGATGACTAAGCACTGCGAGATGATGACTAATTTCTTTTATTTTATAAATAATATGAACATACTGTATACTTCATACACAAAGTTTAATAAGCCACTTATCGCTATGGTCAATTTCCAATATTTTTAGTCAAGTATGCTTCAAGATATTTTTCAAAATATATTTATAATGAATGACGATCCCTGCAAGACTGCAAGTACACTTGTTATGTCATGGGGGAATTACCCTGGTAAAATGCATGGATTGGAGTGGAGTTGGCACAAGAAAACAAGAGTGAATAATAGAAAATATGAAAGACAGACAGAGAATAACAAGAGGGAGAGAGAGAAAGAGAGGGGAACAAATATATGCATATAAAAGTAAAGGGAGAGAAAGAGAGAGAGAGAGAGAGAGAGAGAGAGAGAGAGAGAGAGAGAGAGGGGGGGGGGAGTGAGACACAATGGGATTTGTGAGGATAAAGAAAGATAAAACTTAGAGAGGAAAGGAGAGAGAGAACAAGGAAGGAAAGGAGAGAGAGAACAAGGAAGAGAGACAGAAAGAGACAAAAAGAAGGTAGAAAGAGATGGGAGAAAAGAGAGAAAGAGAGAGAGAGGGGGAGAAAGAGACACAGAGGCAGAGATTAAGATGTACTAAGCTTTGTTCCAGATACAGGATAAGGGCAGGATGCAAGCAAAAGAAAATTCAAGAGGATAAGCTTGAAGAGAAAGGGGGAGAGAATGAGAGAGAGAGAGAGACAGAGAGCAAAAGTAAGAGATGTAGTGACCATGATTTGGCAAGACATGAGACAGACGAGCCTCGCCTAAGAGCCGATGAAGATGCACTCGAGAGGGGCAGACGATGCCCTCATTGGCAACCCTCTGCAGACTAACACGTCATGGAGTGGATTTCCTTGACGACACTGCCAAGTGCGCGACCGACGAGACCGAGCGAGTGATGTCATGCTTCTCACGATGCTCCGTCCCTCACAACGCCACCCCCCCCCCCCCGTGCCTCTCTTCCTCATACTCTACTCCAAGGTGGCTTTCGCTCGCATCCTCCAAGCCCAGATTAGCACTTGCGAATGGCTAGAGGTAAACATACAGGCTACACCAAAGAGCATCCCTATCCTGTTGCTATTTATGGATGACAATCACGCAAAGCGGCGGAATTTAAGGGGGTCTCGTCCAAAGGTCATCGACGCCTTATCATCCCAACAACGCGACGGTGTCTGACCAGAGACTAGTGGACCCCTGGCAGGTTGCCTAGCAACAAGGATGCTCCCCCAAATCGTCTTGGCTTTGGAACTCTTCTGAAAAGTTAGCCAAATCTGAAGCGATTCTCGACGGTCTCGTCGCAATTATTCTTGAACAACACAAACAAATTGGACAAGACACTGTAACACAACTACATGTTATGGATCAGATACATTGTCTGTTGAAAGCAGAAAGGCCATTGAGTCATGTACCGATATAAAGTTAGCGCCCTTCTGGCTCTCGAATGATCATATCAGAAAATAAGGGTCTGCTTGGCATAGATCTTTAATGCCGGTCATGATAATGTTTAAATAATACATTATATATTTATTTTTTTAATGTTTATCCCTAGTATCTATAATCTTGGAAAAATACTTGGCAAAATGTTGGGCAGTTCAGCTCCACTTTGATTCTGGAATTGCTGTGTCTCTCTTGCAAGAGATATGACTATTCTTTATCATTTCATTTAAACAAGGGAAATTTTAAATCAAAGTGAATGTCCTTTGAATAATTCACCCGTCTTCAAATTATTAACTTTAAATGATTTTAAGAGATATATAAATCAAAGATAAAAGTAAAAAAATATCAGATTCCAAATATACAATGTACTTTTTTCTATGTTCCAAACTTTTAAAACACAGTGTACGATCAAGGTTTCCTTTTGCCATTCAAGAAGCATAAAGATTAAACATGTGAATAGAATCACAGTTTTAATCTCTAAATCTCAAATGAATTGCTATAAAGCAAGTTGAAAGTATTTTACAAACACCTCGAAAGATCAGCCTTTTCCAAAAATTTGACCTAGGAAGACGTTAATTGAACAAGATCTTAATAAAAGGGCTAAAGTAATCTTGAACAGTTGATGAATCGTGGTACAATATACACCTAATGGTCAGTACGGGTGATGAAAGGAAAAGAGAGAGAGAGAGAGCGTTTCAGATTTACTAAAGCTGAGTCACTTCTAGGAGCGAGAGCAGTAAATCAAAAAGCTCTTTCGACAATCAGAAATACCCACAATCAAACATCCGAGCTGCACTTCAAAGGGAACCGCAGCATTAACAGTAGACAATAACCCAGAGCATTGAGCCATTTGAACTCTGACCTCTCGCACACAATACTCGGTAAATCCATCAGAAATGAGCTTGATGCGAGTCGGGAACCCTCGGATGCACGTCGCTTCACAAATATCACCTTTAATTGTAATAGGGTTACGAGTAAACGGGGAGAAAGAAAAATACATTTCGGGCCATTGTGACTTGCAGTTGAGTCTTGTGGTTTTTCGCTCTCACAAAGGACCTGAAAATATTTGGCAAAGCAGCAATTTTTTGCCCCCCATCTTCATTTAGCGATGATATATGACAGCTACAATCGGAGAGGATGTGCAAGAAGAGAGGCTCATCCCATTAAAAAGGGAGAGAGAAAAAAAATGGCCGGGCCCCCCTTTCAACTCTAGGTGGTTCCAACGTAGAGCAATCAAACCGAAGATTAAAATGGGCAGCTTTTTGTGAGGGTGACGCGGCGCTATCGAGATGATATATGGCGGAGATTAAGCCCTTCCTCTTCCCATTGTTAGCCTATGTAGCAATCGCAATAAAGCGATATCTAACAAACAAATCTACTCACAAAGAAAGTACACACACAAACTTCAAGTACAGGAAGGGTTACCTTTTATAGATCCCCCAAATCACCACTCATTTCTACCAAAACAGTGATTGAACTTCAATTGATGGATATTACTTCTCTGTTCTTCTCTTACAAATTTCTCCCTTCCTCCCCTATTTTACTAGAACGAATTACCTTGGTTTGGGGAATAAAAAGGAGCCCAGATTCAATTGACTTGTGGCTACAGACACTGATTACTGATCTAAATCTTTTATCAAGTTTTATGTTTATGGACCAGAAAAGGATACAGAGGGTCCTTTCATATATCACAAATAAACAGTAAACTTACACTTTTTTAACATCCTCGTAAATTCACCCAAATGGAATATTCAGCATCACTGGGTTATATGGAACATTAATCTACCTCCAAATCGGTTCCCTTTTCGGGTCAAAAGTTTCACCTTAAATCACTCTGTTTATTTACTAAAATGTCTGAAGGATCTCCTACACGTATTAATTTATAACTGCTACGTTGCTTTTGCAACAAAAGGGAATGTAAGAAGCAAGAAATGGATTTAATGTTATAAATGTCCTCAAACACGCAAAATACAAAGTCATAAAAATTACTTGGGAAACATACACTTTGATTTGATTTGATTTACCACATTCCAGCAATCAGTCAACACATATTGTAAGCATCACATACACACATCTGCCTTTTAAACATGCATAACAAATATTGAATTTTGAAAAAATTGCTCAACAAGGGGATTGAGAAATGGCACAAGCACAAGATATGGGTGACTCTTCATTAATTAAAAAAGGTTGTCAATAACAAATCAGCTAATATTGGTGTTAACAAAGCCTTCCATTAACAGCAAGCACAAAGCATTGAAGCACTTCATAGAAAAGCACCTTTTATAATCTGAACTCTTCAATATTTCTATGACCCTAAACCATCAAAGACATTAGATGCACAACTTGTAATTTCATTCATGCACTCATAAAAGCTACAAGTACTAGTGCAACAACTTGGGGGGCTTTGAACCCAGAACCTTTTGGTTATGAGATTACTGCTCTACCACTGAGCCATAATCCCCTCTTCCTATTTAAGGAGGGTGGAAAGGGGCCATGGTTTAAGATTTACCCCCTACCCCATTAATACATTAATTAAAGATGCAATAATTTGGGTGGGTTTGAACCTAGGACCTCCTGGTTCTAAGTCGACTGCTGTACAACTAAGCTATCACACTGCCTCCTGTTTGAGATGGGTGGGAAGGAGGAACAGAATGAGGTTGGATGCTCTGCCTGCCAACCCACATAATGACAAAGATCTAGCTTACCAATCATGGAGCCAGAATGGCGTTAACTATTATAGTCTAACACAGGGTTAAAGATGAAATTGAGTTCTGGTCATGCAATTGCATTGTGAAGGAAACGGTGTGGAATCGATCAGAAAAGGCTTTTCAGGGAACATGTTTTATCTGATGTTCTTCCACACTTTCATATTAACAATGATAACGCTCACAAATTATTTTTCACCTCTTCCCAGAACTCAACCTTCTCTTTAACCCCCCTTCCGGCTCTGAACAGACAGTGTGTGGAAAGTCATTACCACAAGACCGATGCATAAGGATAAGGATTCAGATCATTTCACTTGTCTGTTAAAGCCTTTCTGCACTAGTTTGACCAGGAGGGATTAGACCTCCCTGCATGGCAGGTGGTTATCTCATCAAATCAGCTCTCAGTTACCATAAGAAAAAGGGGATCATGGGGGACCAACGGGTACCGCTTAGGGATTCTTTGCTGTATATAGGGCGCAAGTACATGTAGCTACAAGTAGCGCAGACCCACTTTAACAGCCAGAACAAAGAGTCAACTCCTTTCTGGATCCGCAAAGACAATGAACATCCTTACCTGTGACTTGGGTGTTCCCTTAGGTTTAGCCGTTCCGTTCACTTTGCCCTAGGAAAGAAAACAAAAGATTGAAATAGTGATTAGTAGCTTATCTTCCAGTATTCAATCACATTTTAAATCATTTTCCACAAAAGCAAAAACATTGTTAAGTTCATAAAGATTAAATTCATTCCAAAAAACAACGAGATAAATTAAATATTTGCAATAGAATAATATCTAACAGAGATGAAAACGCGGTATTAATCACAAATTAAAGCAACTTTATAAAGAAGTAATAAGTACCTAATATCAACATTTATCACTTCACAGATGTACAAAGAAAGTTTGAAAACAAAAGAACAGCAAGCAAACATACATGTACATGAAAATAACATATTTTCCAGGCAATCGAGACTTGCATATTCCTACAAAAGAGGTTGAAAAATCTAACATTTAAAAAAAGATTTGTTATCGAAAAACAAGCTTTAGATCATGTAGAGGGTCAATGACTCCAATACTGGTGATTTTTCTAATATTAGTTTTTTTCTTCTCTCCCTCTCTCAATTTTGAATCAAACAATCTTTGAAAATGAATCCGCTTTCATGATTTCAATGCTAATTCAAGTCCTTGAAAACATTACGCGTGCCTCACTCCAAACCAAACACCCCCTTTTCAGGGTGATTTTTCATAGAATTTTTGATTAGTGTGCTTTGGAGTTCACTGGGTCACTAAGTTTGCTTGAATGGGTACATAGCGAAGATGAAAGAGAAAGAGAGGAGGAAGAGAGAGAAAGAGAGGAGGAAGAGAGAGAGAGAGAATATGGCCAACAAAAATAGAAAGAGAGATGGGGGGGGGGGAATAGGAGAGAGGAAGGGAGCAAGAAGGAGGGAAAGGGAGATGAGGGGGAGGTGAAAGAGAGAGGCGGAGGGAAAGAGAGAGGCGGAGGGAAAGAGAGAGGCGGAGGGAAAGAGAGAGGCGGAGGAAAGAGAGAGGCGGAGGAAAGAGAGAAGGGGAGGAAAAAGAAAGAAGGGGAGGTGAAAGAGAGAGGGGAGGTGAAAGAGAGAGAGGGGAGGTGAAAGAGAGAGAGGGGAGGTGAAAGAGAGAGAGGGGAGGTGAAAGAGAGAGAGGGGAGGTGAAAGAGAGAGAGGGGAGGTGAAAGAGAGAGAGGGGAGGTGAAAGAGAGAGGGGAGTGAAAAGAGAGAGGGGGCGGGAAAAGAGAGAAGACAGGGCGGGAGAAACGGGGGAGGGCAGGGCGAAGGGATAGAGAGAAAGATAGACTGAGAGACAATAGTCATGAAAAATACAAGACAAGAGATGACTTATTTAAGCAAAGCATGAAGAGCAGAGAGGTGGAGAGAGGGGGAGAGGGGGAGGGGCAGAGAGAGAGAGACAGAGAGACAGACAGAAAGACAGATAGATACAGCTCCAATGATAAAGTAGGGTGGGATGGGATGGGATAAGAAGGAAGATTTTTACACATGAATTTATGTATGCTTCTTCAAATAACTAGTGGACAAAAACAGATTTGAAACACACTGTATTATCACAGACGGTGCAGAAACCCCCTTTTCACTAGAAATAGTGATCTCAAACAAACACTTGAGCGGCTTTTGTGATTGAATCATTATCAAAACTTATATATTAGGCTAGTATATATTCCAACTCTACTATATTGCCTCAAGAATGCTGAACAAATACACCAAGTAAAAGGAACACCTAACGTGAAGCAGGTGTACTGAAAATGCATGTTTCATAGGACCAAATTTGAACGGATGATAACCGGGATCTTTGGTTATGTAGGATGAAATACAGGAACAGTTGATCATTACCGTAAATTTCCGTGTATGAGACGCACCCCACTTTTGGGGGGCGAGAAAAAAAAAAAAAAAAAAAAAATCTTGTTCCTGTGTTTAAGACGCACCCCGACTTTCCATTTTTTTTCGGCGGAAAATAGTGTGTCACAGAGAATTACGGTACTAAAAGTCTACGTCCCAATTAACAAATCCTAGGTAATTATGGTAATAATATCAGGTTCTAAAAATAATGAGTGAAAGCTTCGACTCACAAGTGGGTAAAGATTTCTGCTAGCATTTAAGAAAACCACACTCAAGATTGAGATTTTTTTTATTTCACTTTTTTGTCGTGTTTGCCGGAATGTGAGAAATATAGAAGATTTTTTTGCTTGCATTGTAAATGCAGCTCATGACTCATCAGGGGGGTGTTTCACAAAACTTGTCATCAGTGACAAATGACAAGTTTTGTTATAAGCTACTGAAATCCTTGCTTCTGATTGGTTATCAACAGATTTGTCACTGATTTTTTTTTTCATTTGTCATTGAAAAAAGGCTTTGTGAAATGGGTCCCTGAATTCCACACCGAAGATGTGGCATACTATAAAAGTATATACTGGTATTCTTTAGTTTGATATTTCGTATATATATATTCCTTAAAATAGAAATCTAGTTCATACATAAATATAAAAGAAAGATCCTGACTCATTTATTTACCATCCAAAGAATGTGGGATATTTGTCTTTCCTGACAAAGATATTTTGTTAGATATATTCTGTGAAATAGCTTTCTGTTGCGAACATAAATAAAATGACTCATTTAAATGAATTATTAATACCATCAAACATGTGGCATGTATTATGTCTTTTATCTGATAATGATAAATTCCCTTGATCAATCTTAAATGATTAATGTTGTTAAAAAGCAATTAGTCAAACTGGAATGGATGCTGTAAACTCATGCCCTTTACCCCCATCGAAACGATAGCAATGATAACATGCTTTCATTTTAAAGTATATCTTACGATGGAGCATTCAATAATTCTTGTTTTGGATGATGAATTTTTCAATCAATCATAACTAAAACAATCTTAGATGAATGAAAACTTAGAAGAATAAAAGCTGTACCTTTTTAAAGGCTACAGGATTTTCAAGAGAGGTTTTTTTTTTACAAGAGATCAGTTTTCTTTCTTTAAATTGGTAAAGACATCACTTTGTGACTAATAATACTTCCACTACAAAGGCAAGAACACATCTTCTAAAATGAAACTGGCTGCATAAAATATGAAATAATGCTTTGAAAAAGCCATTGCCAATTTGTGTTGGAAATAAAGATTTAAAATACTTAATAAAGAGAGAATAATTTGTAGACATGTTACATTTTTTCATACATTTATACAAAGAGAGAATAAGTTGTAGACATGTTACACTTTTTCATAATTTATACAAATCCAAAATTGCCAATGGCAAGCCATAAGGTATAAAGGATTGCATTGCTTATTGAACTTTCGTGAACATTACATTAACATAATCCAATGACAATTTCAATCAAGAAAGCACAATAATCCATTGAAAATTTGAATGGCTAACGTAAAGGCCATATTTAAAAATCCTTTTGTTACAATTTATAATATCCTTTTGCTGTAGATTTTCAAGGGTACTATTTAAGACAGAATTTTTAGTAAACGTGAATGCCCCTGCAATGTATTTAAAGGGGAAAATAGAAAATAGAAAAAATATACATGTATTCTTTAGAAGGCATTTAACCATCCATAAAAACTAGAAGAGGTATTTGATACATCAACAATGAAAGAGCATTAAAAGGGGAAAATTAATTTATTTGAAGGTTCAAACGGAAGTTGACTTCAAAATTGAGGTTTGTGCATGCTTAATTTCTTTTGCATTGAGTCTGCTAGTGAGCTCGTCAGCCATTTTAACCTTCATTGAGAAAACAACCTTTTTTAAAATCACACTTACTAATGCACTGCTCAAATGAGACCATTGAAGTTTTAAAGTTGAAGTTTTAAAGTTGAAGTTAGCGAAAGCTCAAAGTAATAAACAATGATCAACTTAAACAACGATGGGGTGCATACAAAGAATGTTCACTGATGTTGACAAAGTGAGAAAAAAAAAGAAGAAAAGCCTACTTAACATGCTATTTATATTCTTGTTAAGCATGTGATGTTGTTGTGTATCACATTTCAAATAGCATTCAAAATAATTTCCCACTTCGGACCTTAAATGAATTCCGTTCACCTAACTCAAGCCAGAAAAATAAAGGTTTAAACTTTTGAAGAAAACAAAAATCAGTTTATTCAAACACAAGCTGTCATATTGACCCGTTTCTCAGCCTTCCTGATGTATTCTCACTCTCTCTCTTTCTATCTCTCTCCCTCTTCTTTTCTCTCCGTCTCTTAAAATAGAGAGCTGCAAGAGAGGAAATACCATTCTTATATGCTCGAATCCAGCTTAAAGGCCTGAATACCAGAAAAGAATGATACCTCATTTAATCCAAATATCTCTTCAAGTTTTTTTAATATGCTATAACTAAAAATTCAAGATAGAACTCACTGTACAAGCTATACAGAAAATCCAGAAAAATTGATCAAATATTTTTTTGTAAAGTTTTTTCAAATATGAAGGAACACTGATGAGCAGCTTTAAAAAAAAAGGTAATTTCTTCAAAAATATTTCAATTTTTTTGTATCAAATTCTGATATCAAAATATCTTGGCTGTTTGTTTTTACATTCCTTTAAAGATGGACTTTTTTTTAAAAGTCAGGTTCAATATGGTGTCACTCATATTTTTACCCCGTCGCAGAAAAATATATCACTATCAATATTTGGTTGGTGAACTTCATCAGCAAGCGAATATTGGTTCTTGCAATCTCTTAGATCATCAAAAATATTCCTTTCTCCCTTGCAATAGAACAACTCTCTTCCTTTTGCTCTCGATGAAAGCATAGTGTGAAGGAATTTTAAATAGAGGGGGTAAACAGAATCATAAAGGATGTCTATGACGATGATGGATGATTCTTAGACTGACATACACAGTACGAGAGAGAAATCTATTTCATTTGTGCTGCCCACGCCTAATAAAGTGTTAGCCTATCCCACACAGCTCCTCAATCACCCTACAACATTAACCTACATGTGCACTTCTTTCTCCCCATCTCTTTCCCCTTATCTCTCTCTCTCTCTCTATCTTTCTCTCCCTTCCTCCCTCTCCTTCTCTCTCTGTCTCCGTCTCTCCATCCCTCTCCCTCTCTCTCTTTTACTTCCTAGCATTGTTGCATGCAGGTCCTATTTACATTGCACCCTGTCAAAAACTCTTTTTAACAAATCAAATATTGTACTTATTTGGGGTGATTTTGCAACTTTATCTTTGTCACAGATCAATTGATTTTGGGTCCCCATGGTATTGTGAAAGTCAAATGCATACCTTTGTAGATTAAAGTCCCATCCCCCTTCTTCCTTCTCTTTTATACCCCCCCCCCCCTTACATGAACAAAATAAAAGTAGCAAACTTATCCCCCAATGACTTCGACTTGTAATTGTAAAAGAAATAAACCATCTTCAGTGTGCAGCACAATATAAGTGCACACACGCATTTCACCTGTGCACAGTTTTTGTTTCACTACATAAGGTTCACCACAGATGGCAGTATTATCAATATTCCACTGGTGATACACAGAAATAAGACAATGCTAAAAATGTGGCTCCATATATTATACACACGTTTTCCTAGCTAATACTGAACTTAAAACTGGAATTCAGATTAGAAGAAAGATGGTTAGAAATTACAACGTAATGGGTAATAAAATGCAGTCTTTGTCAAAGTTACTATTATTTTTAAATTAACAAGTATCCATGTTATCATAATGATAATAATATTGCCAAATTACCCAAATACCTTTAAAACAAATACACTTTAAATGACTTAAACAGTATTTTAGCATTTCAAACTGTTATCAACCTCAAGCATGTTGAAGTCTGCAGTAGATGCTTACTCAAAGTACAAAGATAATGGTTTCTTAAAATGGCTACATAACCAATGTCAGTTTCGATTACATCTTAAAGCTATTCTTGAGCTTCCAATAATTAAATTACAACTCCAAAGAAAAAATTGTTACCATTTATTCTAAATTGAATATCATGCAGTAAACTGGTTATTTGGAATTGTTGCAGGAAAATACACTTAGAATCGCAACTCACATTTGCACTTTATAAGACCACAAAGTTAAGACAGTGCAGGGATTTGCAGGTCAATTTTCTTAGTTTTTGTTTTTGTTTTTTGCTCATAACTTGGATATTATAACTTTTCTACCGCAATTATTTAACTGATGTCATTCATTTGGGGTCTTGAATACCGTATTTACCGGCGTAAAGGCCGCACCGCCGTATAGGCCGCACCCCCGATTTTGACATTAAAAATAAAAAAATAAAAAAAATAATTAAAAAAAAAAAAAAAAAAAAAAATAGTTTTTTTTTTTTTTTTTTTTTTTTGGTTGTTGTTGATGTTTTGTTGCCGAAAACCCACGCGGGGAAGGACCTTCATTTAACATCGAGGTGCAGTTAAAGGCGCTGATTTGTGCTTGTAAACTTGTCACAAATAATAGTAACAATGTCGTTTTTAGAAGAATGTGTAAGATCATTAATGTAAATTAAACACAATAGAGTACCTATGGTACCAATGGTGTACCTTGTGGTACACCATTTGTTATAGAAAAAAAATTGAGGAATTATTATTATAAACTACATATTGAGATCTGTCAGAAAGATTACTTTCAAACAAAGATGACAGACAAATTTGAGTGTTGTTGTAGTTTCCGAGTGGTGAGTCAACACACTGATTACTGAGCTGGAAGACATTGCCAGGCATAGCGCCATAAATAAAATTTAAAAAAAAAAAAAAAAAAAAAAAATTTACTCTTTCGCCGCATAGGCCGCACCCCGACTTTTTGATATTTTCTCTTCCAAAAATACTGCGGCCTATACGCCGGCAAATACGGTAATCAGTGAGTTTCCTTTGATTCTGTGTGAATTCTTCATTCTTTTGCATTTTCTGTCATTACCAATACCAGAGTACCTTTAATCTCAACCAAAATAAACAAACAAATAACAAAAACACTTGAACTGGTCATTACTCGTCTAGATTCCATCAATCCCATTTCTTGTCTCTCAGCGGCATATTGAAGAACCCATCTAGAACGCCCTTTAGCAATGCAAGTGACCATATTCTAATTCAGTTTAACCTGATGTCAGGACTAATGGGGCGTTGCAAGAAAGTTGCAATCGATTGCAAGTTGCAAAATTTGCAAATGATATTTGCAATCGATTGGAACTCAACTTTCTGGCAACGCCCCACTAGTCTCCTAAATTTCCTAGGAGTTTGTTCAGATTAAAGTTTTAAGAATTATATTAAGTTAACTAGATCTAGCTTTTATTCTCCCCCTCCTCTTACTAATTGCATGATGCAAAAAAATTGAGTTGCGATTAATTGCAAATTTGCAATTAATCGCAAGACTTACGCTTGGTTTGGGGGATTTGCAATTGATTGCAACTTTCTTGCAAAGCCCCATTAGTCATGTTTAGCAATGGGAAAATATGTAGACCTTGAGTCTTTCTTCCTTTGTTGAACTTAACTTTAGGCCAAGCTTTAACCAGGATCAGGTTTAAAGTTTAGTAAAATGCAGACCTATAACTTAATAGCGGGCACCTTTCATTCTTCCCCTTGAGGCCTTACAGACAGGTTTAATTACTAAAACCCCAAAAAAGAAGTTTAATTAATAACTTCTCTCTTGTTCTGGCACAATCATCGCTATGTTTAGCATCATTAGAAAGTGTGTTTATTCCTCATGACATCATACTTTTCAAGATGTTACAGTCGCGGAATGTGCATTTCATCAAATTAAGGTGCAAGGTCAAAAGTTAAAAGTTGCAAAATGCACTGCTCTTTTCGGCTGTGCATTCTTCTTTCTTTGAAGAGTGTAGGGGCTGCTGTGTAGTGCACTACATAATAATAATACCAGTGCTTTCCGGTGCATTTTGCAACTCTTCACTTTTGACCCTGCCCCTTATTCTGATGAACTGCTCATTCCATGGCTGCAAAATCACAACAAATATGGTATCATCTGAAAGAGGAGTAAACATCCCATCTAATGATACTAAACAAAGTGATAATTATCTCATGACAAGAGAGATATAAACTCAAGTTTTATTTAGTAATCATCAACATCGGCTGCTATCGACTCAAGCATTCATGCTTACGATAGTTGGTCTCTGCACTTATCTTGATTCTTCTACTTGCCTCCATACTTTCAAGTTTTCAATTATATATATATATATATACAGTCAAACCTGCTTTAGTGACCACCTGTCTACAAGGACCAGACTTTTTGTTTCCCTTGAAAATGGTTTCTCATTGAAACATGCTTTAAAGGAACCAGTCTACAAAGACCACTTTTTGCGTTTCCCTTGGGCAGTCGCTATAGACAGGTTTGACTGTATATGTATTTGTATGTGTGTGTATTTCAGTTGTCACTCTTTATGTAAATCAATTATATTATTATACTTTTATTGTTATTTGATTGTTTTGGATTTGATTTATCAATAAATGTAGTAACATCTGCTAAAAATAACAAAAAAAGCGTCTTACCTTTGCTTTCTTTGCTGGCTTCGCGGGCGATGAATCCTCCTCCTCTTCTTCCTCATCCTCGTCATCCATGCCCTCCTCATCCTCATCATCCTCCTCGCTGTTAGAAGAAAATAGAAATCACTGTCATCTTCATCGCCATCATCTTCATAATCATCATTATACAACATAAAGATGAGAAGAAACAAAGAAACATGCTTTGAATGCAATTTCTGAAATGGATACAAGATGTTGGGTGGTCTGAAGATCATTTATTGAATTAAGAGCATGATGATCTTTCACACACAATTTGGGCGGAAGAAAATTCACACTTCCCCCATCCTGGTACAAGAAATGAAGTAAATCCTCTGGCCTTTTCCATTAAAGACCATGAGTTTTATGCCCAACATCAAATAGATGCCAACTATTCAAACATTCCACAATGCTGGGCTCAACAACAAAAACAAACTAGATGGATCTTTGAAAATTATGCCTCTGCCATTGAGCGATTTTATTTAAAATTCAAGTTTCATTTTAATCCATTAATAGGTTCTCAGAATATCTTGATTAAGTTGATTACAAGCTATTTTTCAGATACATGTATGACCCTTTGATATTTGACCTCATGACCCTAACATCTAATCAGTTCATTGGCTCTGCAACATACATACATGTTCTGAGTTTGATAGTAATCCATCCGTCGGTTCTAATGTTAATACGATCACAAGTTATTTTTGCATACATAATGAGCCCCATGACCTTTGACCTCATGACCCTAAACTTCATAATGGATGCATAAAGATTATTATCGTCAATATGTCATTATAATTCAAAATATCAGTGTGAAAATGCAAGGTCTACATTGCTTGAAGTATGTAACAAAGATGATAACAGAAAGAAAAATCATCCCCTATTTTAGAAAAAGAAATTTTGCATCATAAAAAGTCTTCATCTTATTTTTACTTCACAATCTAAATGTTTAAGAGTTGATTTTTTAAACTTTTTTATCTTCGGAGGGCAAACAATAGACAATTTATGAAATCTCCATCCTCGTATTCATGAAGCAGACAAAACACCTTTAACTTCAAAACGTGTGAATATATCTCTCTAAATCATCCCATCCTCTTCATTACAATCAATTCTCACTTTCCCTTTCTATGAAAAGGTCAAAACTCTTGATGACCCTGTCCTCGTCTCCCCGACCCATCCCGCCGCCAAGCATCCACCATAAACCAATTCTCCTTGATTTGTATCACAACAGCCCCAGGAATGTGGCGTCAATTTCGACGGCTTCCAAACGAATCTCCCCTCTCGCTTCCAGGACGATAGCATCACTCTTCGCAAGCCAAACTTCCCCCAACGGTTTCAAAACCGTTGCGACAAGGATGCACACCGGGGGATCAAGACCATGTCATAATTTGTGTCATCTTTTCCTGGCAGGTCCCCCCTGATGTCCCCTCGCACAACAAGGAAGATAAGACGGTGGCCTTAATCAGTGCCAGGCGCCCGGGGCCGTGCACTTTTAATCGACAGGATCTGGTGCGGAATGGAAAACAGACCCCAATCAGTGCAGGATAGGAAATGTCTCATAAAAGACGAGATAGGGGGCAGACGTACAAGAATGATTTCCTGCGTCAAATCGGCTTCTCAACCGATAACAATGATTCATGGCATCAGCATCTACAGGACAGGGCAACGCTCTGGTGTGAGATGAAAGATGGATGAACCCTTTTTCTATAATCCATCGACATCGGTTCATTTCCTTTCTGATGGCTATCTTACATAAGTTTTCTCATACAAAGTTGCAACAGGGATTTTTTTTCTTCTCTGTCCTACGATTTTTAAATACCAAAATACACCTGGCATAAGGTATTTGGACAGAAATTATGCCAACACGTTTCTTTGAAATTCTATATTCTTAATCTGCATGGGAAAACAATAACTTATTTCTATCCAGTGTGTCATCTACTCACAAAAATTATTTTAAAAGGGTTGATTTTTCTTCTTAAAATTTCAATATCAAAATCATAAATCCTAATCAAAACAAAATAACATGTAAGCAAACATTGTGTAGAAAATAAGTAGGTTTTTTGTGCTTGTGCCTTTTTTGTTCGTGGGTGATTCTATCCCCTATTTCATAAATCTTTAGGGACTTTATTTCATCCAAAAATTTTATCAAGGTTAAGAACAGGAGGATCAATAGTTATGAATGGCTGAATGAAATTAAAGATGCATGGGAGTGGGCTCTCACGGGAATTTGACACCTTTCGGGCGTTTACCCAATAACAGGTGTTGACAATCACCAGGATTAGCCTTCAGATTTATGACCAACAGGTGGTTATCTCATCAAATCAGTTCTCAATTAACATAAGAAAAAGAGGATCATGGGGGACCAATGGTCAGCGATTAGGCATTGTTTTCTATATAGAGGACGCAAGTAACTATAAGTAGTGTAGTGGGGCTTTAAAAGTCGCCAAATTGGCAGTGCAGAAGCCTTCATTAACCAGCGAAGTTGTAAACAGGTCTGTTTCCAAGTACACTGTATGTTGCGAAGTAGCCGGGGATGTTGTTAGTTAGGTACTCCACACATGTACCCATCATCTTACATTTGTAGATTATTTACGTCTAGCAACTGCCAAATAACATCTTCATCAAAATGATGTGCACCAGTTCCAAAATCAAACCAGATTTTGGGCGAGTCTATTTATATCACTTGCCACTACTGTACAAATTACAGGCATACTGTGGGCAGGGGCATCACCAGAATATTTTGAACGGGGTAGGGGATGCTGGAGCTTACATGCATACCTGCCAACATTTGAAAATGAGAATTAAGAATTTTTAGCACGGTATGTCTTCGAAAATAAGAAATCTGTACCCTTAACAGGCGTTCGCACATGCAGCGGCAGTGTAACTGGCAATACGCAGTTAATCTGTGCAAAAAAGCGAATACAAATTCACTGCTCAATCATGCAGCCCTTCAACGCATGCAATATGTGAACTCTCACATCGAGGCATATGATAAAACAAGCTTAATTTGGCTTAAGCAACACAAACAACAAAAAAAAAAAAAAAAAAAAAAAAAAAAAAAAAAAAAAAAAAAAAAAAAAAAACTTTTTAGGGGGTCCTAAAAATCCAGAAAAACGGGATATTCCGGATTATTCGGGAGGGTTGGCAGGTATGTTACATGTACAGCTGTATGTGTTAGCTGGCAAGTGTGCAGAAAGTCTTCTTTTTCTTTCAAACGACCCCCCCCCCCCCAAAAAAAAAAGGTCTTCAAAATTTTGAATCAAGCAGACAATGTTAATTTAATATGCCTCCAGATTTGCAAATGGCTGACAGAGATTTTGAAGAAGAAAAAAAAAAAACGGAAAGGAGGGGGAAGGGGAGGTTTATGATTTCCTCTACTGACGCCCCTTCAATTATTTGATGAGTTACTACAGCTATACTTACTCATCATCTTCGTCATCATCATCTCCTAAAGCCATCTGGAAAACAAGAAAAACAAGAAAACCAATGACATATAACTTACTTGTAATCAGATATAAACATGAACAGGTTGCAGATAGAAATTTGTAGACAATTGTTTTGAAAAGACAGCTAATCTGGCACAAGGTCATTATTTATTCAATTATGAGACAATAGCTATAAATATATGGCTGGATTATGCTATAAACTGCTAATCAAAGACAGCCATGTAAAGATTCTTCCATATAATATTTAATATATTCTAAAAAGCACCACTGTTTAACCACTGGTAGTTATTTGCTTTCAGAAGTGTGAACAATCGCCACAAACACTGATTTTATTCAATACTGAAGCATCACTGGACACAATTACCAACTGTTCATGTTCATATTCATATCAGGATAATGTAGGGAAGGTTGCTTCTTCACCTTTAATCTCATGAATTTTGATTTGTTTTCAGAAGATGCATTGATTTTGAGAACATATCTTTATCATTGGAAATATGCATCAATTTTCATGAACATATATTTTCAGAAATAAAATTCAAAATGTTGCTAAAACAATAAACGCACTACAAGGAAACATGGTAGAATAAAAATATACTGTAATATGACTACTTTACTGAGCTTTGCTCAAATGTGGCAATATACAAATGGTTATGACAACTGACAAGATCAAAAGATCTTGACGGAGACAGAGACTAAATGAAAACATAACAAACAAAAATTAGTAATGGCTATTTTTGATGTTATTGGTGCATTGAAAGGTTAAAAATTTCAACAAACAAGTGAACAGGAATAGACACTTTTGACTAAAAATCTTCAGATATGAGTAATTATGCACACTGACTTAGTGATGGGAAGGATACTTTCATTAATACTGCACATGACACTGTTATTACTTCGTCCTTAACAAACACCTAATACTTTGATTATTACCATTGTGCATATACATGTACAACACATTAAGTGACTCTGTAACATTGCCTCAGATTCTGAAAAAAAATCCCTGATTTAGTTCATGCTGCAATCATAAATAGGGACTTTTAGATTTGCATGTCGACATAGTGGACTGCTACGTGCGACGTCCTTTTAAGACACTACTTTTAAGGCACAACATGGCAAAAATTGTTTTGTTTACTTGACTGCATGTCACAGATGGCACAACTTAGCATGATGAGAGGTATTGGAGGAACAAAATTCATGTGCCTTCATTTAACGGTTAAAACAATACAAATTCACAAATCACTCCTAAACTGCTTGAGCCTGTCGGAATTTAGGATCACAATGAAGATGAAATAAGAAATGGATGTCGTGCTCATAAAGATTTCTCATTGTATGTTCCTTTCTGCCTCCGATGGATAACTCTTTGTTTGGCTAAAGAGAGTGAGAGGTTGAGGAAGTTTAACACATTAATGAGTTAGTAAAAACTTATAAGGATGGATGAAGAAAAAAAGTAGGAAAGATTATCTTGAATGACATCAAATTCACAAAATAAATATAAACCATCAAGAAATAGTACTGTATGGTAGAATACGAGAACCATGTTAGTTATTCATCACATTATTTAGGAAGGACAAAATGTGAAAAAGTAAAAGATACCAAATAAAACCAAATGGACAGATACAGCACAGATATGAAAATAAAGAATATCACAAATTCAATAATGCAAATGTGAATTTGTATGTCGACGAGTACCAACTGCAACTAAATATACAAGCACATCACAAAATAAAAACTGAGGAATATAAACCTCTTCATCATCTTCTTCCTCCTCTTCTTCATCTTCTTCTTCTTCTTCTTCCCCACTGGTAGCTTCCTCCTCCTCCTCCTCATCTCCAACCTTGTAATCTTCATCTTCTTCATCATCCTCGTCATCGTCAATGGCATGACCATTCTCGACGGAACCGTTGGGAACCTTCCTCTTGCTCGTTCCATCCTTGTCGACCTTAGCAAGCTCAAAGGATAAATGATTACCAGGTTAGAACAAGTATAGCAATGTAATGTCGTCATCTCCTTCATTATCGTCGTCATCGTCGGCATGACCATTCTCGATGAAACCATTTAGAACTTTCTTCTTGCTTGTTCTGTCCCTCTCGACCTTAGCAAGCTCAAAGGATAAATAATTACCAGGTTCGAACAAGTATAGCAATGTAATGTCGTCGTCTCCTTCATCATCGTCGTCATCGTCAATGGCATGACCGTTCTTGATGGAACCGTTCGGAACTTTCTTCTTGCTTGTTCCGTCCCTCTCGACCTTAGCAAGCTCAAAGGATAAGAATTCACATTAAAAATAATTGCCAGGTTAGAACAAGTATAGCAGTGTAATGTCGTCGTCTCCTTCGTCAGCTCTGTAATCATCTTCGTGGTCGTTCTTGATGGAACCGTTTGGAAACTTCCTTTTGTCCAGTCCTTGCTGTTCCTAGCAAGCTCAAAGAATATGAATTCATACTCCAAATGAGTAAAAAAAAAAATTAGAATAAGTACAGCAATTAATTGTGATCGTCACCTACTTCATCGTCATGGTTGCTGTGATTGTTCTCAATGGGACTGTTGGGGATTTTCCTCAAGCTTGTCCTAGCATTGTCAACCTTAGCAAGCCTGAAGAATAAGAATTGATACTCCAAATGAGTATAGGATTAAAACATGGGGAGATTACTAGTGGAAGGAAGAGGTTGATAGTGAAGAGTAGAAGATGGGGATAGAAAAGAATGATTAGGAGAAGAAAGGAAAACAACAAAAAGCAGGAAGGATGGAGGCGCGATAGCTCAGTCGGTAAAGCAGTGGTCTTGTGATCCGGTGACCCAGGTTCGAAATCAAGTCGATGCGCTAGTGCCCTTTGGTAAGGCATTAATCCTCATTACCAGGTCCCTCGGAGAGGACTTAAAGCTGTCGGCCGTCTGGTTGCTTACTTACAAGCATTTATGCTTTCTTAGCAGTCAGGTTAAATAACCACCACCACAATAATAGTCTTACATGTTGGATTATCCTGATTTGTTGAAGTTCCGTAAGGATAATTGGAGGTAAGAAAGAAGGGTTATTTTGAAAAGAGGAAAGATGAAAATATTCTTGCTTCGGCAAAACCCTCAGACCAGCAGTTGGTGAGAGTAAAGAATACTTCTTCTTGAGCCTACCAATAATAAGAAATTTTTACCAAGTTGGACCATTCCTGAAGATGCTGCTATGACAAGGAATACATATTAAATACTTTCATAGAGAGCTCTTGGAAAGATGTGTCATGATCCTTCTTGTTATTTCCCCACAGAAGGCGACTTCTTTATTGTCCTATAGGATCTACAGCATTTTGATTCTTAAAATGTGCTGTAAAAAAAATGCAGAGTGAGTAAACATTTGAGGGTTCATGCTCTACCTTCAAACACATAATGTAAGACAACCAATAATTAAACTTCTTGATGTTTACAAGCACTGCGCATTACCTTCCGAGCTACACGTATCAGCACATATCTCGTCTTCTCCACCTTCCTAACACCACACAAAACGATAGACAAACAAACAATAGACAAACACAGCGAGCAAGAATGGGGCCCGAGTGGGGTGGGGTGGGATGGGAGTGGGAACTAAAGAGGAAGCAAGTTGGTGTCTATACTACTTCAAACAAACCTTCCAATCTATAGCATCTTCGTCGTCTTCGTCATCCTCATCATCATCGTCCTCGTCATCAAAAGCAGGTTTTTTGGACATCTTGAAACAAAAAAAAGAGTGCGAGGCAAAAATTGTTGTTAATGCGTATAAAAGAATTGTCTCTCCTGTGGCTGCGGGCATGATAATGAAGCTGAGAAGAAAAATGTGGTCTCATCACTGAATACAAGCCAGCAAATTAAGTTGTATTTAGGAAGCAAAGATCTTCACTAAAGCAATGAACGATCACCATTATCTGTGTCTTAAACTACTGGTGTACACCTATTCATTTGCAAATTAAAACTCAACTGAATACCAACATGATTAAAACATATTAAATGCCACACCATTTCAAAATTTGAACAAAACTTAGCGGTCTAACTCAATTCATATATTGTTGCTTGATCACAAACAATATAATTATGCAGGGAAAAAAAAAAATTATTAGCGTATGAAGACAAAAAACAGCCTGCATCATGCTAGTGAATCAAAATGGGACATGCGATAAATGAATTCAGAATAAAACCGGATGAAATATGATCAAAGTTCAAACTGCGACTACACACGAGCAGAAACAATGCACCGATTGATATACAACACATGCAAAATCTTCAAACCAACGGTGGCACAGTTCCTTAAATTAAATTTTTGTTGTTTACATTCTGCAATTTCACAAGGAACACAAACCGTTTGAAGCCCCACTGCACTAGTTTGGCCAGGAGGAATTAGACCTCCCTGCATGATCACTGACAGGTGGTTATCTCCTCAAAAAAGCTCTCAATTAACATAAGAAAAAGGGGATCATGGAGATCATTGGTCACCGATTAGGCATTGTTTGCTATATAGAGGGCGCAAGGAGCTATAAGTAGTGCAGTGGGGCTTTAAAGTAATTAATCATTGCATACAATCTTACATTCTTCTTTGACTGTTCAATGGCGGTTCTTTTACATGTTCTTTTCTGCATCCCTTATACTAACCTTCTTTGCTGGACCTTTAGCAGATGGAGCCGGTCTTTTCTTTCCCTTTGCGGTCTGTATCTCTTCTTCTTCCTCCTCCTCCTCATCGTCATCCTCATCTTCATCCTCATCTAGTTCATCTCCTTTTCCTTTCATGCGACCCTTTACATCATTTAAACAAAAGGAACAAGAAGAAACAGATACAGGAAACAGATGTTAGATGCAATTGCAATAAGCCACCTCAAGTACAGGGGTGATAGTGAGCACTAAACAAAAATAGGTTTTTTGTTTTCCCCTCAACCACGCTCCCCTTGAGGAAAAAAAAAGAAGAGGATTGCCGGGAAAAAATGGCACCTAACGACATTCCCCCCTTTCGTGTAAGAAAATTTGGGAAATATTGGGAAAATTGGGTAAAAAATAGGGCAAAATAGGGAAAAATAGAGAAAATAAGGGGGAAATCAGGAAGAAAAAAAATCTGGTAAAAAAAATCTGGTAAAAAAAAAAAAAAAAAAAAAAATCAAAAAATCGGGAAACCAATTTAAATCGGGTTTTTATCAGGCCTGCAAGTAACATACATGTAGAAGACCCAACATATGCTAGGGGCTTTGGTTCATCACAGATACAGGATCAGGGAGTAACTGGGTTTTATGTTCTACCTTTGTGGTTAGGGTTATGTATGGTGTTTGGTCAAGTAGCATATAGCATTAGCAGAAATTGATGAGCGTCAAACATTTTCTACAAAGACCGATTTTATCACTTCCATTATCATCGATGTATATGTGAACAACCTCTAACAATTAACGCGGAGGCTTGCATAAAATTTGAATAATTTGTTAGCTCGTCTACATCAAACATCAAGTGCAATTGATTTGTTTAACGTCTCCACATTCATGGAAATGCTTTAGCAAAGTGTTGTACATGTATTATTTTGTTACCTTTACTGCAGCTATCTTCTTGACTATTCTTTTGGGTGATCCCTTCTTCGGCGTCTCCTCTTCTTCCTCGTCCTCCTCTCCTTCGTCTTCATCTTCTAGATCCTCATCTCCCACCTCATATGCCTCTGCACCTTCAAAGTCTTTCCCAAACTCTTCATCCTCTTGTAAATCTGGAAGAAAACAAGAATAAAACATAAGTCATTCGGGGGCACTGTTGAAGCTGAAACAAGTGGTATGACAACAATAAACACATTGACTTGGCATTGTGGTCTTACCTGCAATGACCCCCCCCCCCCCCCCCCAAAGATTTTTTTTTTTTTTTAATTTATTTATATAACCATAATAAAAAAAAATAATAATTAAAATTAAAAATGTAAACAAATAACAAAATAACAAAAAATTATAAAATGCAACAATTTTTTAATCAATTCCATTGGGTTTAAATTGGTCTCTATAGCCATTTCCGAACCAACAAACCTGAATGGCGAAATGATGGAAATGGTCATCATCTCTTGTGAGAATGACAAACAATGCATCAATAAACGCTTTCATCTAAAGTAGTTTACTATCAAGGCTGGATTTCCCTTTAAAGCCTATCAGCACTAGTTTGGCCAGGAGGGATTAGACCTCCCTGCGTGGTCACTGACAGGTGGTTATCTCATCAAATCAGATCTCAATTAACATAAGAAAAAGGGGACCATGGGGGACCAATGGCCACCTGTTAGGCATTGTTTGCTATATAGAGGGCGCAAGTAGCTGTAAGTAGTGCAGTGGGGCTTTAATAGCATTGAGCCCTACCAGACGTTCTGCAACCCTAAGATCTTACCTAAGGCATGCTGTCCACTGAGATACACGGGACCCGAGCCGAGGGCTAGTTTGAATGTGACGGGAGGCTGAAGACCAATGTCCAAATTTGTCTGTAAAATCCAGAAAATGGAAATAAAACTTATCAATATATCTGTACGATCAGCAAAATAGACATAACAAATAAGTTAAGTTTTATGATTCAATGTGAAGTAAACAAGAATTTTGCCTTGTTCCATGGAAGGTGATTTTCCCCCTTCTCAATGAAAAAAAACATTAAACTTTGTTTGGAAGAATGTGAATAGTACGGTATAGTTTTACTATGCACACACTACACACACATGTATTGGGATATTTTCATTACCGGTAATTAAAAGAGACATTCACATTCAACCAAGAGGATTCTATATTTAACCAATCTTTCAACCTACAAATGTAAAGGGATAATGTACATAATACAGAATAGCACTCATATTATAATTCATCTAATTTCTGATATGTAATGTATGTTATGCATAATTAGAGAGAAAAGAACCAGGAGAATTCATAACATTTTTGCGACAGTCACTAATGGTTTGGGAAACCCACTTCTATGCAGTGTCATCTCAGGAAAGTAGATGAATAACATTTTACCATCCCTACCGAGACCCATTTAATTTAATTTGAATAAATTAATACCAAGCTTGAAGATAAAGTTGAGTTATGGTCATGCAATTGCATTGTGAAAGAAACGTTGTGGAATCGATCAGAAAAGGTTGATCATCTAGCATATAAGTATTGGTGTGTACTACAAGGTTCTGGAATCATCAAAATGATAAGAAATTTGGCCCAGTCTAGGTAAAGTTACAAGCACTGTATACGGAAAGATGTATATGGGACTACGCGACACGTGCGTTATATCTATCAGGTCCAGATAGATATAATACTGTACCAAATATATCAAATAGTAGGCGGTTTTTCAGCAAAATTTGAATGATCACGTATTAGTCATAACATTCTTTCACATGATTGGTAATAAGAGCTTCCATTTCATTTTTTGAGAGGGGGGCATTTCCAAAACTGGCCTTTACCTTTGATCTCAACTGTTGAAGAGATTTGCCGTCAGACTGTCAAACTGACCAGCCTCCTAATCCTCACACAATATTGGTTTTATTTGATGTTTCTCAATGACACTCGATTGCCTAAATCTGTTAATCCCCTACTCTGTGAGTATAAACTCATAATGTACATCAGCATTTTTTAGTTTTCTTTCACACATAATGATGCCGTACCTAAAACCTCTCATGTCGACATTCCTCTACCAAGTTTTAGGCACTTTTCAATTCAAGACTTAGGGTACTTAATACTACTTTCAAAACCATTACCACTCTTTCTCTCTCTCTCTCTCTCACTCTCTCTAACTCATTCTTATTTTCTTTTTCTCTCTCTATCTTTCTCTTACTAGCACGCTCTCTCTCTCTCTATCTATTATTCTCTCACTAACACGCTCTCTCTCTTTTTCTTCTATCTTTCTTTCTCTCACTAACTCTCTATCTCCATCTCTTTCACTCTCTCTGTCTCTCTCTCTCTCTGTCTGTCTCTCTGTCTCTCTCTCTCACTAACACGCTCTCTCTCTTTTTTTTCTATCTTTCTCTCACTAACTCTCCATCTCCATCTCTTTCACTCTCTTCTGTCTCTCTTTCTCTGTCTCTCTATCTATTATTCTCTCACTAACACGCTCTCTCTTTCTCTTTATCTTTCTCTCACTAACTCTCTCTCTCTCTCTATCTCCATCTCTTTCACTCTCTCTGTCTGTCTCTGTCTCTCTCTTTCTCTCTCTAAAGGAGCGAGCTGAGCTGCGTGAGTTCGCCTGTGGTCAAGACGTGTCAGATTAGCCCAAACCCGAGAAGACACCCAATTATGGGCTTGAGAATGCCACCCTTTGAAACGCCCTTTCTTCCTCCCGAAATATCAATTTACGGATTAAGGCTTTCCTTCTTGCACACAAAGGGTTATTCACTGACAAGTATGACTGTAATGGTGAAAGTAGAGGTATTAGGGACTCGGCTCACAATGTTGCCGTTAGTATACTAGTATTAAACATGGGTGGGTTTTAAGGGAACATTAGTCATTAAAGGATTTGTAGACAGTAATGGCTCTTGGGTACTTGAAACTCACAAGAGGATGACTGTCTGAGTTGGCACCCCCAAAAAGGCCTATTTAGACAGCCCAAAACCATTTTGAAAGATCATCAATTTTTTGACCGCCATTTACACTATTAAAAAAAAATGTTGCTCATTCATATGTTGAGGTGAGTATCGCGCATGCGCCACTTATCGCTGCTCTACATTCTTCCAGAAACCGGAATCATTCACAGATGTTTCGAGAGCAGGCATTTACACTGCAAAAAATCTGTAAAATTGCTGCAGGCTTTTAATTTTTTTTTCTCATTTTTTTTTCTTCGTGATTGCCGGTAGTTGCTTAGCAAAGAAAAGAAGAGAGAAAGAAAAAAATTGACAAAGAAAAAGTTAGAGAAGTAGGAATGTGATGAAAAATGTGCAGAAAAGGGGAGTGAAAAAGAAAAGAATATAGACAATGAGCACAGATAAGGAGAGAGAGAGAGAGATTGATAGACAAACAGATATTGGAGATCCATGAAGACAGAGCCATAAAGACTTTAAAACCATTAGCAACTAGATATTGTGTCAAAATGGCCTATTACTCACTGGAATATATATGAATATATGAAACATGCACTTTTTTTCTATGCAGTATCCTACTGTAGACTTTGTAAGGATTACGCACGTATAACATTATCAAGGTAGACCCTAGAACGGACACTATAGCGAGTTGAAAGTGGGCAAGTGAGTAAAAGGAGGGGCGGTTTCAGGTGGTTTAGTTGCTAAAGGGTTAAAGTAGACACATTTCTTGATAGGGAGTGGACCAGAGTCGATTGCCACAGCTGTCACCGAAATTTCACTCATGTTAAGGTAAGAAGGTCAACAGCAAAAATCTGGAAACTGTATGCATGCATGGACAATAAAAAAAGTAGCCCGATACATGTCACGAAAACCAAAGATTGTTGAAATTTGAAGTCCTACTCCATTTAGTTTAATTCCACAAGAAAAGTTTGATCAATGACCAATTTCCTGCTTGTCACACATTGACCAAGGGCAATAATATTGTTTTATTAAGTTACAGAAGCAAATTCAAGAAAAAGAGTCATCACCAAGTATAAGTGGGACTACAGTTCCTATTTTACTTGTGGACTTGAAAATAAAGTTGAGTTCTGGTCATTCAATTGCATTGTGAAGGAAACGGTGAGGAATTGATCAGAAAATGTTGATCATGTAGCATATAAGAATTGGTGTGTACTGCAAGGTCCCGGAGTCATCTAAATGATAAGAAATTTGGCCCAGTCTTGGTAAAGTAATAAGCACTGTACACAGAAAGATGTATAAGGGACTACACAAACATGTGGCACAAAAATCAGGACTCATTTTTAAGCTGTTACTTGTCATATACCCCATTCACAGTGGCCTCAAACACCGCGACAGCAGCGGGACTGTCCCGCTGCTGTCGCGGTGTTGTCTTCAGTGTGAAGGCTCGGACCCGTTATAAACTATCGCGGGATAACACCGCCTCGCGATAACGCCGCGACAAACTATCGCTAGGTTCGCCTAGCTACAGCAGCGGGACAGTCCCGCTGCTGTCGCGGTGTTTACTCAGTGTGAAGGCTCTCCGCTATAACACCACGACAAACACGTGTGATTTGTTTACTTACCTATCACTGACCTCTTTTCTCCAGCAATGGGGAACATAAAGCGAAATAGAAATAAAGTAACCAGTGGATTCAAATTGATTTTATTATTATGTAGATATTATAATTATCCAAATAAAAATATTTCACACTTCAAAAAATTAAAATATTCTGACTGGAAGCAATAAAAATGCTAGAATGAAAGCGACAGCAATACGTAAAAGTATAGATAGATCCATAGCTAAATCGAGCTAGCTACATGAGGAAGAGTGTGTAAAGTACAGCTAGCGCGCGCAATTTCAAGCAATCGAAAACCCCGCGCTGAAGTATTTCCGGTCATATCGGGGTCACTCGCGGGTCATGAGCCATGCATACACGTGTTTGTTACGGAGGTAATAAAAATCACCCGCTGCAGCGTGAATAGGTACATGATATTTATCCCGCTGCTGCAGCGGGATAACTTTTCTACTGTGAATGCATTTGTAGCGGTGTTATGGCGGTGTCGCCGCTCCGCTACAACGCCGCTACAAATTTCAAAACCACTGTGAATGGGGTAATATTTAGAATATGAAGGCATTTGAAGAGCCATGCTTTTTTAGGGAACATTTTTTCACTGATGTTCTTCGACACTTGCCCCTTGAGCATTTGACTGTCAAGTGGATTTGGTGCCTTATAAATCTTATGTATTATTATATTATTATTAATAACAACAAAAACACTCAGAAATTATTTTTTCACCTCTCCCCAGAGCTCAACGTTCTCTAAAATCAAGTTTAATTTTTTTTTTTTTTTAATAGAACCAAAAGCCACGATAAAACCCCTCTAATTGATTAAATTACCAACAAATAATACATCTGCAATATGTCTCTCTCTCCCCTTCTAAAGTAATAGTCATTTAAATCTTTAACAAATGAGAGAGAAAAAGAGGGGAAGCTTTGCTATTACATTTGCACATCGACACATACCATACCTTTTTAAAGTCATGGCTGACCAATGTGGTTTTGGTACAACAACTGAATCTAAATACAGGTACGCTGGGTCTTACCTATTTGATTGTTCTGGATTTAAGGATCGCATATCATTTTACTTTTCGCATAATTGATCCCATATCAGGGGGGAAGAAAGTATGGATTTGTGAACAATGGATCGGTGGAAATTAAAGACTTGTGGGTTTGTGTACGAAGATATTAGAGGTGTCCATCAAAAAATGGAAGGCATTGTGGGAGGAAATCTGTTCACTTCCTCCATGACCAGAGTCACAAAGACCCATTCATAAATGTAGCACTGAACAACCGAGCAGTCGGAAACAGTCAAACAGAATCCTTCTCCATGCAAGCTACTGCATGTTTTAGGGATAACAGAATATTTCTAGAATGAACTCATCCTTTACAAGATTATGGTCATGGTTAGAACTGAATGACCCATTATGAGACATTAGTAACCAGAGCGCTCTTGGTGGAAGTTTGATTTAGGGATAACCGAATTTCCCTTTTTTCCTAAAATTCACTGATCCTGCGAAACTGAGTGCTTTCATTCACTATCCATCACCAAATCGAGCTCATGGTGAAAGCTTGATTGGCAGGTGGCTGGACAGATATCAGCGTCGCTTTGAAATTCATCCAGGTATCGGGTTTACGATGGAATGCCAGTGAAAATGAAAGAATGACAAATTCCCAATTTTCCCAAATGTACATGAGGTACTAATCATTAAAAAAACAGCAGTGAGAATTAATACTACAAGTAACTACATATAAGTTTTAACGGTAGTGTTGTTGATCTTTTTTCTTCTTCATATAAGGAATCCCATACCTCACTCTTGGGAGGGGGGGGGGATCCAAACCTACAATTGTTGCTTCAAATTCGCAAGGGGTTGGGCAGAGTTCAATTCCATAACTAGTAAAGGAAACATTATTTCAAACTAAAAATGTGTTTGATCTTTGTAGAGTAAACCCACTTTGATAGACAAATTTTACAAGAAATAATTATCATGGAGAAAGTGACCATATTATTCAACTTCTTTATAAAAATGATAAGGCACTTTCAAGGATGGAAACAGAATTATTCTCGAACCTCACTATGTGCTTGCTCCAAACTGCACCCATAATTCATGAACAGTGCACAGGTCTGTAACATTGTCCGCTCTTTATCGAGTGCACACCTCCCTTACTTAATACACCACCACAAGGCTAAATTCCTGGCATAGTTTCCCCCTCTGCCACCGACCACATTCACAACGAGCGCCCTGGCTCATGGACGGAATTTGGTCCTCACCGGGGCCACTTGAGTTGACTTCACATCTCAACATCGTCCCAAAGAGGATTATGCCTAATTCTGACAACTATTTAAGAACTCCACCGAGCATAAAAACTTCATTAGGAGGGTAAAGGAAAGCCCCAAGACATTTCCTTGGTTCTCCGCACCCCTCCCCCTTTTTTCCTTTCTTGCAGTCACTGCTGCATAATATGTGTGTGGACAATAACCGCTTCAGGTTTCAACACACAGTGCTTGTTCGCATTAATCTCTGCGCAAGCCCATTTCCACTAGAAGAAAAAGATCAGGGGGGTGTTTCACCAAGACTAAGATCAAATTTAAGTTGGACTTACTATGGCAGGCTGTTCATGCCACTGTTTGCTCTCACCATTTAATGGCATTGGTCTCTCAAGGGACGTACAAATCACGGTCACATGTCTACAGACCTTACATTTTTGATAATTCATTATTGAAAGAAAAAATATTATCTAAAGATCATAATAGTGAAAGCAAACAGTGGCATGAACAGCCTGCCCTAGTTAAATCCAACTTAAAGTCGATCTTAGTCTTTGTGAATCCCCAGGAGTTTCTGTATATAGGAGAGCTGTGTTCTTAAGATATCATCTGCCGAGAGCCAGAAGGGCATTAACTCTCTACATACGGCTCCGTTTGGTCTTTCTACGTGGTGTGAGAGTAGTTTCAAGGACAGGATAGTAAGACTAGCTTACAATGTCAAATCATTCCATGAGCATGCCCGATTGTATCTTGCTTGTAGGGATAAATCGTCAAGATTATCGCATGCCCAGTTCGGACGTGCTTGCCGTCGAGCGAGGATTCTCTGTGTGTAAATGGTCGCCCCCCAATAATCAATCTTTGCATTGCGATCTAATTCGCACTAAACTGACATGTGTGAACGGGACTATTGGGTGCGAGAGTATCCTCCCTAACCCTAGCTCATATAATTCTGAGATTGGAGAATGGGGCCGACAGGAAAAATATGATGGTTTCATTTGTGTTTTCACAAATGTATTAGTTTCATTGTGCCTTCAGCTAACAGCCTTCCATTCCATTTCAATATTGATATTCAAGACATTCCTCTGCAGAAAGCTGCAAAACGAGATCCTATTTTCACACCATTAGAAAGGCATCGGAAACATAATGTGAACATTTCTTGAATAATGAATACAAACTCTGTTCAGATTCTCTGGCAGATATAGATCTAATGTGTGGAAAAATATGCAATACGAGATGGAATGGGACTTAACAATTCAAACAATAGTGCTTCACTGGTACAAACGCTTGCCAATTTTAGGATTTTAATGATTGATTTTCTATTAACAAAAAATCCCAAGTGTCAAACGTCATATCTTAATAATTTATTACAATTTTCAGCTTGACCTTGGATACAAAGCTTTGTAAACAAGCACAAGTATCTCAAAAGGAAGTCCACCCTGATTTTAAGTTGGTTTAATAACAGACTGAAAATAAGAAAGTTATGAATGTTTGAAGTTGCCAGCAATTGATCACAAATTGGTAACCATGTGACACATCTTGCGAGCTGCCCTCCCGTTTGCTTTTCACTTTGCAACTTAATATCAGGGTGAACTTGCCCTTTAAATGCAATTCTTTGGGAGAAGGGATACTTACGCTCTCATTAAGACCGAGTCTCAGAGAAAGAAGAGGCTGAATGACTGTATCTCCATCAAAGTTGATCGTCTCCACTTCAATCACATTCCTATCATCATCTTTAGCTTCTACCCCAAGGACAGCCTGTAAAGAAAATACGGTAGGAGTGGGAAAGGAAAGAAAAAGAAGGGATACGTGAGAGAAAGACAAGGGATATGAGAGAGAAAGAGAAGGGATACGAGAGAGAAAAAGAGAGAAAGAGAAGGGATACGAGAGAGAAAAAGAGAGAAAGAGAGAGAATGAGAGAGAGATAGAGAGAGGGAGAGGGTGAGAGGGAGCGAGTGAGAGAAAGAGAAAGAAGGGAAAGAGGGGAGAAGACAGACAGGAGGGGAGGGAGAAAGAGCGAGAGATGGAGGGAGGGGAGGGAGGGAGGGAGAGAGAGAGATTAACTATAAAGTATTTCATGACTACACTTACTGTAGGTGCAATTGGAATTTCATAATATCAAACACAAGATGGCGCTAGACCACATTCACAGTGGTATCCACCGATCTCAAATTCTAAGAATTCAAACAGTATGATGTCTTACTACCATTATATCAATCTACATGTATTAACCTCCTTCCCCCCCCCCCTTCATTTTTGTGATACATGTTTCCTTCTGACTCTGAAGATATGTTTAATTTTGAAAAAAAGTAGATAAGTCACATATTCTGAGCATGGAGCCATTTTAAAGGGCGATTTTGCCATGTACACCACAAACTTTTATGACAATCAATAAAATCTGGTTATGTGGCTGGAGTTGTGTTGACACAGAAGAATATTCAATGAAATAGTTTATACCAAAATGTCGACAGAAAAAATGGGTGCCCATAAGGCCAAATATAAAAAACAAACATGTTTAGCGTCCTGTTTTTTCGAAAAATAGGAAGGAGGAGGCCCTTTTCTTTTTTCTTCAAAATGGCCGCACGGTACATTTTCCCTGACAGTCGGCCTATTTTTCAAGATGGCCGCCAACTTTTTTTTTATTTTTTAAATCAGAAATAGATCCATTTTAGCAGTGTTTTTCATGTTTTTTTTCTTTAAAAAAAAATTATTCAAAAAAATTATTCAAAAAAATTCAAAAAAAAAAAATAGGAGGCGGCCCCCAAAAAGGAAGCGGACGGGGACGCTAAACATGTATATTTTTTGTAATGGCCTAACAGCCCTATACTTTACCTGCTTCAGGAAGAGGAAATGGGAAATGGAATCTTCCTCATCATCGTCTTCATCATCCAGGAAGTCAGATTCTGGGTCCCATTTGAAGATCTTCTTATCCTTGGACAGAGTTGCTCCTAATTCAGGGAAGAGACGATAAGAAAGAGTGGAGAATAACCCCCTGTCCACACACAACATTTTCAGTGATTAGCTATACTGTTTCGCGATAGTTTTACGATAAAATTGTGTGTGTGGACGCTCACTACCGATACGTCGTATAATGAAACTAGTCTAACTAAACGCAGGTTTGGGCATCGTTTCGAACTGAAACTCAATAACTAATCACGGAAAATGTTGTGTGTGGACAGGGGGAGTGTAACTAGTGTAACTAACTGGGCCAGGCTTAATGTGACCTCGAGCGAAAGGAGACCAGACCTCTCATTTCTGCTTCCATTTCATGACCGCAGTAGCAAACTGCGCACCTATACGACATTTCGCTGTAGAGTTTCAGGATTACTTTCTTCTGTGTGTGGACATCCTGGAATTTATACGATGATTATTTACATTGGTATATGACGTTTCTTGTGTGTGGACACTCTAAAATTTATACGATGATTCTTTATACGACGTTTCGCTATAGAGTTTTGGGATAAATTATTTTGTGTGTGGACACGCTGTTTAAGGTACGTTATTCTGGATAACGTTTTGAAAAGCATGAGAGGGGCACGAGAGGATTATGAGAGAATTACATTCTCTGGTGACAATGGATCCTAGTTTCCTACTAGAAACTGATTGAATTCTACAAACTTTAACTGCACCAAACCATAACCTTAAAATGAGACTAAATTACAAATTCATGTTGACTATTGTTGATCTGTAATAATGTTGTATATATATACATCACATATCTTTTGAATTTTTGATGTACATTTGTGTCATATTTTATATTACTTTTTTTTGTGTGTGGACACGCTGTTTAAGGTACGTTATTCTGGATAACGTTTTGAAAAGCATGAGAGGGGCACGAGAGGATTATGAGAGAATTACATTCTCTGGTGACAATGGATCCTAGTTTCCTACTAGAAACTGATTGAATTCTACAAACTTTAACTGCACCAAACCATAACCTTAAAATGAGACTAAATTACAAATTCATGTTGACTATTGTTGATCTGTAATAATGTTGTATATATATACATCACATATCTTTTGAATTTTTGATGTACATTTGTGTCATATTTTATATTACTTTTTCTATTACTTTTGTTCCGTCTGCTATGCTCCATCCCTAAAACAAAACCTCCACAAGCAAACAAATTTGGTGACATCATCATGCCAGTCATTCATCAGTCAACTAGATGAACAAAAGACATAGGTAAGTCCCTTCCTATCAACTGACCACCTGTTAACAAAAGACAGTGGTATGTCTTCATATGCACCGACTGAGGACCTTATTGTATCAGCATTGCATGTTTTCATATAATAGCCCTTTGAAACCCTTCTTTTCATGGTGTTGCTTGGGGATTTCTGACATAGCAACTGCTTAAAATGTAATTGAATTTTGAGAGTGGGCATTGTATAAAAACATGCAATGCTATTGTGAACAGGTGGTCAGTTGATAGGAAGGTACATACCAATGTCTTTTGTTCATCTAGCTGACTGATGAATGACTGGCATGATGTCACAAAGGCCATTTGCTTTTGAAGGTTTTTTTTTTGGGGGGGGGGGTGGAGCTTAGAAAGTAGAACACAAGTAATAGAAAAAGTAATATAAAATTTGATATAAATGTACATCAAAAAGTCAAAAGATATGTGATGTATATATTACAGATTAACAAAAGACAACATTTGAATTTGCAATTTACTCACCCTTTAACCTTAAATTCAGGGAAGAGAAGAGATAAAAAGAGTGGGAAATAAATGGTACTTTATTCTGGATCATGTTTCGAAAAGCAAGAGAGGAGCACAAGGGATTATGAAATTCTAAGAGTATAAATGCATCAGATATGCATCCGCTAAAATTAAATTTTAGTGCAAACTTTACTGGCATGATCGTGCCAGTAAAGTTTTCACAGCAGACCCTATGATCAGTTTTTGTCTCTAAAGTGAGAGCCGATCCTACCCGAAGAAGAGGTCTAGACTCAGCTCAGAGTTGATATTCAACTCTCAAATTTCAACAAAGTCCAACGATTCTTGAGAGTGGGAAAAGAAGACCAAGTGACCAGTATGGGCGCTGGTCCGAGAATAAGGACCATCCACATGAATGAGGATCGTCTTCGTAAACACAGACGCGTCCTAAAAACTAAGGATCGTCCGCGAAAATGTGGACGAATCTTATTTCTGATTCGCGCGTTGGCAATGGGAAAAACAGATTCCGCGATGATGCTCCTTGATGCATTTCAAATCGACTTTGTACAGAGACTTTCACGTTATAAACGATAAATCCTTATGAAGACGAACAACCCACAAAAGTAGACGGAGGGTATTTCATTATGCAGAATCTGTTTTTTAATCGCCAGCGTGCGGATCGGAAATCCTACACCTACAGGGCACCGAAGAAGAAAAAAAAGCATTTCGCAGTCGATCATTAGTTTTTAGAAAGCGACTTGTCCGTGTTTACCAGGATATCCTTGTTTATGCTGACAATCTTCACTCTCGGACTAGCGCCCTCTACTGAGTACTGGTGACCAATCATGTCAATGTGTTTCACAAGTTTATATAAAGGCAAAGCACTAGATCTAGGCCTACTGAGCATTTCCATATCCCAATTTCACAACGACAATGACAATGCCATAATTTGCTGAAAAGCTAGGCAATATTTATATTACTAGGTCTAGACCCTTTATTAATAATATTAGTACACATTACGTGTAATTAATTATGTTACAATCATAATCATGATCTGGATCGTTAGGTTGTCACTCATCATGCTCATTCATCATCCGATCATCAACGTTCTCATTACTGATTATAGGTCTAGACCTACATCATTATCACCATCATCATTATCATGAACAGGTTCAGAATAGTTTAGTTTCAATGACAATGCAGACTATCATTTCAATTTAGAGTCTAGGCCTACAATTAGGGCCTAACTTAGGTCTAGACCTATAAAAAATAGAAAAATGAATGAAATAAAAATGACATTTTTTAGTTTGAACTTTTGTTCAAAACTTTGGATTTTCTTCATAACACTTACCCCAGAAATATTCTTTAGCCATGGTGAGATATATTTGTCGTTCGTTAACTGTTTCAATTAACTACAATTAAACCTTGTTTGGCTAATTAGAGCAAGAAATTCAACAGGTGATATTGTGACAGGCGACAGTTCGGCTCGATTCGATGTTACCCACGTGTGGCTAAGCGAGTTGAATATGACTACGAATGTCAACACGTTGCGTACACATGGAAAACACGTATTGAGCAATGCAAAGCATGCTGGCTGTACATTTAAAATGAAAGGACGATTGCGCGAACATCTACTTCCGGGTAGCGTTATTTTTTTATGCGGCACAGATTGGGGCTTTTTTTTTAAAGGGGTCTTGATTTACAGACTAATACTGGTCGTGTGCGTACTAGACAGTATAAGTAGTAGAGGTCAGTTTTTAATAGTGTTATATTTAATCCACTACCGCATGGAAAATCATTACATCAACAATTAAAATCAAATTGGAAATCTGAAGAGGAGGCAGCACGTCAATAAGGAGAACATCACAATAATTAGTCAATAAAACTTAACTAATTTAAACGAAGAGGAATGTTATCTAAACACATAGTTCGCGATGGATATACAACTTCTTCGCAGCGCTAATGCGCTAGCTTAAACATGACTAGTCTCACGTACGTGCAGACACTATTCAGAAGGGAAAGAACGTACTTCCCATAGGTTTAACACGCGCCATGCCCCAATCTGTGCCGCATAAAAAAATAACGCTTCCGGGTAGGCATTTAAAACTACCTCGTCTCCAGAATATTGCTCGTTATTCAAACGCACAGCTCGTTTTGGACCACAGGGATTTAGTATGTATTGCAGATCTACTGTAAAAACAGGAATTACTGGCCTATATTCCAAGATTTCCTCTCTTATCACATATTATCTTATTGCTAACACTTCACATTCATTTTCATTATTCATATCAAGCTTTCTACTCATACCATATCCCCTCCAAAACTTGGTGGGGCCCGACATTGGCTTCTTCTTTTTTCTTTCTTTCTTTAATATGGGCCCCGGCCCCCCCCCCCCAACTCAGTGTTATTTAGGGTACGCATATGCGTCTTCCCAGCGACCCCCCCCCCCCTTTTCAGCAAAAGTCCGGTGTGTAAAGTCAATACGGGTCAACCTTTTTTTTTTGTTATACAAGCCTTTTCCAGCACCCCCCCCCCCCCCTTTTTCAGCAAAAGTCCGGTGCGTAAATTAAGTCAATTTGGGTAGACCTTTTTCTTTTGTTACGAGCCAGAGAGTTTGGGAACACGCATGGTATCCCTCCGTTCACGGAGTAGGGTGGGGGGGGGGGGGGCCTGGATATGGGCCTAAAAACTGAAGTTTTTTGGCCAGTTTCATTGTTTGATCAACACACCACTATTGCCCCACAAGCTACCTCAACCATTTTTTGCTCCATTTTGTATTACCCCTGTCCCCCCCCCCCCCCCCTCTCTCTCACTCACACACACACCTTTGTCTCATCTCTTTTATCCCCTTTCTGGACCCGCTTTCATATAAACTTCCTTCTCATCTCGAACCCTGCCATCAAATCACACAACTCTTCTTACTCCCAACCATTTACCCAAGCCTCTTTGCCATCTCTTCCCCCCCCCCCTTCATCATCTTTCATCATCCCTACTACACCTCTGTAACCCTATCGACATTTTCCTCCAAAGCCAAATTTTAAAGACCGTCAATACTACTGGGCCAGAAGGGATTAGACCACACAGCGAGGTAACTGACAGGTGGCCATCTCATTAACTCAGCTCTCAACTAACATATGAAAAAGAGGACCACGGGGGACCAACAGGCACCAATCGGGGAAGTTTTCTATATAGAGGGAGCAAGTAGCTACAAGTAGGACAGTGGGGCTTTAAGCCAGGGCCCTCTTTCATAAAACTTGTTGTCAATAACAACTGCCATGGATCTATAACGAGTCTACTCATCATAGCCAATTTAAAAAAAAGAGGATTTCACTAGCTGAAAACACTTTTTTACCATGTTATTGACAGCAAGTTTTATGATACAGGTTCATAACTAATCTTCCTCAGGCATCGTCATCAACACAACTCATAATAATAATGATAATCAAGAAAACAAAACACATGTTTTTATATAGATTCTTCCACTTGGAATGGATATTTTTGCATTTACTTCTGTATGAAAGTTCTTTCCATTTTACATATTTACCACAAAATGAAACATATTTACTAACTTGTTGCCATAGTTCCACCGACAACAACATATGTAACGTCATTGCAACATGACTTTTTTCTTCTTTTTTTCAAAAGCAACGAGACAAAAAAAACACATACATGCCACAGTCGGATTAATAATTTGCATGTATGAGAGATTCAATGTCATAATGATATACATCAAAAGGTGTATAAAGTTGAGATAATAAATTCATGTCTCTCCATATATATCAATTCACTAAGGCAATGGATATATCCAAATAACTCTTGTACTGATAGTTCAAATTGATTTTCTTTCCAACAAACTGAAACTTGTGTGCACATTTGAGATAACATCCAACAATTGCAGTCATTTTTTTTCACATCCCCTGCATAAAAGTGCATTTTTTTGACATAAATCATTCTACAGCAATGTTTTGGGGGGATTGCTTCTACCAGTATGCCAGAATCATGAAGCGATGCATATACATTTATAATATATGTACACACAATGAGTTAATCACACTTTACGAACCAGTATAAAATTAATTTGAATAGACAGCCTTAAATTGCGTTAGCATATGCATAGGGTTCCTTCTCAATTCTGCCCTCGTTTCACTCAAACAATATGACAGATGTAACCCTCATTCATGAAGATATATTTACCTTGCATCCTATAGTTTTTTGCTTGTTAAAGATAAAGTTGAGTTCTGGTCATGCAATTGCATTTTGAAAGAAACATTGTGGAATCAATCAGAAAAGGTTGATCATCTAGCATATAATTATTGGTGTGTACTGCAAGGTTCTGGAATCATCAAAATGATAGGAAATTTGGCCCAGTCTTGGTAAAGTTACAAGCACTGTACACAGAGAGATGTATATGGGACTACACAAACATGTGGCGAAAAAATCTGTTCTGATTTTTATGCTGTTACATGCTATGTTTAGAACATCAAGGCATTTGAAAAGAGCCATGCTTTTCAGGGAACATTTTTAATACGACGTTCTTCCACACTTGCATAATAACAATGATAACGCTCACTAATTATTTTTCACCTCTTCCCAGAACTCAACCTTCTATTTAACCCAATCATTGTTAAAATACTTCATTTCAGTTCTTTCGCTACCAGAGAAAAGCTTACCATAAGCAATCTTACAAACTCATTCTTCATGTTTCCCGTAGTGTGTATATCCTGCAGATGCAGCTGAATTTCAACCGTGTCAAAGTGATGGTGCATACTTGTGATTTTCTGAGTAGCTGACAGTATTTGATTTTGATCATTGCTCAAATTAAAATGGATGAGGAAAACTAGCTATCCTGGTAACTGCATAATGAACACCCTTGATTGGCAGTATAAGTAAAAGTAAAAAATAATTATAAATACAAATACAAATACAAATAAAGATCAAACACTTTGGTGGAAACATTTACATTACCGGTAATGCAAGAACTTTACATTTCACAAGTATTCAATTCAAAATGTATTTGATAACAAAGTCTGTAAATGCAGTATATTCTTGTGGTTGCTACATGAATAACTTTCCACTATTCTGTGTAACATCACAATATTCCAGTAACTCTTTGGAAAAATAAACAAAATGATGAAATACATTACAAAGGAAAACAAAGAAACACTTAAAGGAAATCAGAAATTTGGAGTGAAGCCACAAGCATCTTTAACAGTTTCAAAACAATTTTTTGGGGGTGGTCATTTGACCTAGGATCATTTCGCATGGCGTTGAGTTCTGTCTCATTGTCACAGCGTAAACATTTGTTTACAAATGATAATTTTGTTTATCCAGGTTAGCCTCATCACTGTTCTACATTAAATGCTGTTCTTCAAGAGGGTCCTGCGATTAGCATTACCCCCAGCAATTGCCAGGTACCTATTCACACCTGGGTGGAGAGTGGCAAATGAGGATTAATGCCTATCCAAAGGATACCGGAGCCGGGCTGGGATTCAAACCCTCAACCCTGGCACTGTGAGTCAAGTGAATGAACCACTCTATACCACAACACCTCTACACCTCAAGACTATACATCTTCTTAACACATGAAAGCACAAATAATGACAATTTAAAGACAAGTAAAGGCAGCCCTGCATACATGTTACATCGTATAATATGGCTACAGGGGTGTCAGTACTGTTTTGCACATCAACAGAACTTGCTATTCCTGCCAAATAGCTTCGAAACTGAAAGACTGGCCACATATCAATAACGATAGTTAAAGGGATTAATCAGCTTAGGTAGAAAGGGAACTGGATCCAAGAAAAATCGTCGCCGAAGGCTCATTAGGATGAACTGGTGAGTGTGATATCTAAATAATATCCCAATAATACTAATAGCTCAATCTATATTGCGCATGTATATGTCCAGGCGATGCTCAAAGCGCCAACAAAGTACTATCATGACACTGGCTTTAGCCTAGCTGCCCTACGGCACTCAAAGAACGAAGGAGTAAGCTCCTAACTAGGTACACATTTACTATGCCTGGGTGGAGAGTGGCAAATGCAGATTAATAACTTGCCAAAGTATGCAGTGTATGATCTACAGTCCGATGATATACCTACTAGATCACACAGCACCCCTACCTTTCTTACATAGACCGATTTAATAGAGATCATGCTGGTAATGTGTGACCAGTCCTTCAGATTCCAACCAACAACTACTCGGTTTGGGAGATACCATTTCTGAAGATTATGCATTCATTATACACCTACATGTACTAAGACAATAAAGCCTATTTATTTTGCAGCCTACCTATCTACCTTTGTTTACATGTGAATGGTATTTTTGCAAATGAATACCTGGATTTGACAGCCTGGATTCCAACTTACATGTACACACCTAAACCAGTTGAAAATGACCTTCAAGAAAGAACAAAAATTACCTATCAATCTGAACCTCGCATCAATATACGATTTAACTTCATGGTAGAGAATATCAACATTTTCCCGTTTTTAGATGATATGTTTCGACAATACTCCTCAGACAAATGTAATATCGTCTTTTATTTCATTATATATCTGATCACATGTCAAAATAGATAAACAAAAATATAAATACAATCAACGTATCTTTTAGAAAAAAAATAGAAATGAAGCACCCTTTAGAAGAAAACAAAGATAACTCAAATGACACCTGGCGCCGACAGAAACAGGAGAAAACAAAGCAAGTAAAAATGTTTGTTACATCAGTTACAATGACTAATTGGTTATCTTTAATTGTTAACTGTTTGGATATACCTCAAGCTTAAACCAAGAAGAATGTTTTATGAGAGAAAGAACTAATAGAAAGTTTACAGAGAGACTGTGCAGCATTATTTCATAGCTCCATCCTTTCATTGAGTTTATACTCTTCTTCATGCATTTTTATGATTAATTAATTACTTTGAATAAATGGAATTCATTTTTACTTCATTCGAGAAAAAAATTACAATTGATTTCATTGCAGATCTTTTCAACAGCACAAGATTGTGACGTGTAGAGTACAGTTCTAATCACACTCTACCTGAAAACTGGATAACATTCGTTTGTAAACGATCGTCCGTCAAAGAGGAGAATCCTTATAGGTTAAGTAGAGACAGTTTTGCAGACAAAAAGAATTCAAATAATTTGAGGGGGAAGGTACATGAAGCTCATTTTAAAACTGAAGAAATAAAATATATTTGATATATTTCCCCCATATTTCCAAGTGTTTTGAATGGATGCTTTAGAAGCAGCATGAAACAAATGATTAGTGTCACACACTAAATTTCCATAAATTTGGCAGAAAAAAAAAAGGAATTACAAAACCCCTTATGCCAGAGTGGCAAGCATGCCGGCTGGGTGAACATCATCAACAGAAGCATTATTTGAAAATGCAGCGTTGTGTGTCACTAATCCATTGAAGAGGAGTTAGTATGAGTAATAAAAGGGGGAAACCCCAGATAAATTGATCAGTTATGCTGCTCTGAACTCAACAATAGACCGGATTTGTACATGTACATCAGGGTCCTGTCTGAAAAAAGACTTGTACTTCATTCAAATCAATCGCCATTTAACTTGAGGTTGTATCACTCACATCTCTGCACAATAGAGAAGGGCGTTTGTTAAAAATATGAGTAACTGAAGGCCTTGCAATTGAATGGGATCAATAGCAATAGCAACTCTTTACAAGATTATGTCTAGGAGACTTAATTCATACAAGGAGGGTAAATAGAGCATAATGCAATAACATACTTCACTAGACCTGAAATTTTAGTACATTTTGGGGTCATTTATGCATCCATGTTGCAACTAATACAAGAAACCAGAAACCAAAGCCATTTTTGTTCCTCATAAATTTTACCTTTTCACCAAAAAAGGCAACACATGGAGAGAGATAGTCATAAACTTGTGGCACATGCAAGAAACAACACATGAACATGATCAAAAACAGATGAAAATAGGGATGAAATTCAACACATGTTCTCAATTCAGAATAATGAAACTATATTCATTTTTCAGCTATATACACAAAAAAGAGAGAACTATTTGTTTCTAGGAAACAAATCCATCCCTGCAAAATAAATTTTCTCCATTCAGCTTCAGACACATTTATGAAGCTGCCTCTTAATAATAATCTTTTTTGTAACTTTCTCTTTTTTTTTCTCTCCGCAAGTATTAATTTACAATCTTCTGCTTGCAATATACAGGCCAGTACACTTTGGTTCAATTAAAAAATATACATATCCAAGTGTTAACCAAGGCTTTACAGTAATTTTCTGTCAACTCTCACATTTTTTTTTTCATCTTATAATTTTTTACTACAATAACTGAAACAGACATAAATATCACATATCTTTAAATGTGTTCCACAAATCAGCCACAATTATCTTTGGCTAAAAAAAAAAGGAAAACATTCATCATCGTAACCATTCCATATAAGTAGTTACATCAGTCATATCTAGAAAAGAAAAATAAGTCTACTCACCCATGGAAATAGACAACAACACTTCATCATTACAGACAATCGAGAGATGTCTCATAATTCATTTGCACACAAAAGGTATGTGTACGATATTCTACTTTAATCAGATCAAGATTAAAGAGCGAGTCATGGTGGAGTAATTTCACTTTTCTGGTACTTTTTAACATCCATTATCTATCCCCATACTTTCAAAACAAGTTTTTTATATGCATTTAATGTGTATATTTAAGAACATGGCAAAACCAAAAGGTGAAACTAAGTGATTCATGCTCACAAATAACTGGAGAAGAGTCTTGGCCTACTTCATGAATGAATGATGCATTGTATGCATTTACGCACTTGAACGCTAAGGCTCGCCCAAGGATGACATTCTAAAAGACTTGCTATCGAGCATAAAAGATGCTGTACAGATTACTTCATCTCTGCAACAAGTTCTTTTTTCCGTCCTGAAATGCTCTCAGTCGAATATTGTGCAGTGCTTTGGATGCGTACCTAGTTTCCTTGAGCGAGTCTTGTTGTTTTGTTTTGCTTTATCCCCCTTTGGTTATGCCATTTTGAAAGGTAACGTGTCGAGGGGTCAGTGACACAGAGACGTAACTCCATTTTGGCCATTTTGAGAAAAAGTGGTTAATGTGTCAAAGAGCACTTGGAGTCAAGTCTATGTTTTACTAGCCATTGACTTTCGATGGGGTGTTGGGTGGAATTAAGTCTTTGTGAAACCTCACATTTTTCTGAACATTTTCATATCAAATACTCATTTTGGCAAAATATGGAGTTACGTCTTTGAGTCACTGAACCCTCGATGTGTTTCTTATCATTTGGGTTGATCAGCAAAGGTTCTCTCATGATAAACAGCGAGGTTCCACCTAATTCTGTCCATCGTGGAGGAAAATGTGAAAAAAAGAAACTACCTTATTGTAACCTTATTCTTGAACTCTAACACTCATGAATCCATCAATTTGCTAAGGCATGTGACATGGTGTCCGTTCATTTTTTCTCAGATAGAAAAACGTTGGATCTCTTATGGGCATACAATTCTAAGATTATATAGTTGCATACCTAGTTTTATGCTGAAATCAGAATCATATTCCTTCTATAGGTAAAACTTATGTCAAAGTAATGTTACATGACCTTTTGGTCTTTCAAAGGATATGTCTACACCAATGTCTTTTCGGTCAGGGAATGATAACATGGCCCTTGTAAATACCAATTCTAAATTGTGTCAAACAGGTCATGTTGAAAACGAATCCAGACTGACAACTGAATCAAACACAATCAATGCAATTCAAATAGCATTGGATTTGAGTTTAATCGTTTCATATAAAACACACTGTCACTGTATTCCTTCTACATATCTCCCCTACAGAATATAATTTATGTTCACATAATAATGTAAGTGAAATATTTGCTTTCACTTGACCCAAAAGTTTGAATAGGCAATTGTGAGGCTCTGAAAGAAACTCCAGGAGGCAGGTAATATACTTAAGTCTTTATAAACAGACAACAAACTTGGCTTCCAATGTAGTTGGTAGTTTGTCTTTGAGTCACTCAATGCCCTTCCGACCCCAGAACACATGAAACATAAATCTTTTTGTCTCCACTCCCTCCTCCAATCAATGACCTACTAGCCCCTCTCTTTCTCTATATAGAGAGAGCGATACTATATAAAGAGACTACATAAAGGTGGTGCAAGAGTATAAGGCCCTGGCTTAGCTGGGCGGCTTCTCTTGGAAGAGGTACAAGTTATTAGTAGCTGCTACGGCCAGGATGTTCTCCCGGGGGTGCCACGCCGTGTGGAGGATCTTGCGGTTGAAGTCGAGGCTGTCCACGCTGATCTCGTCCTTTTTCCGCTTGCTCCCCGTGCCGACCCGCCGCGGCTTCAGGACCTGCAGCGGTTTCGTGTTCTCGCGGGAGGCCTCCAGCGTGACGTCGCGGCTCGTGTTGCGGTCGAATATCCTGAAGAAGTTGTTGTAGGAGCCGGTCATGATTGCACTGTAGGAAGGGCAGAGAAGGGTGAAAAGATATGCAGTTAGACAAGGAAATTTCGCTAATAAAAACATTCCTCTTTCATAATCATGAATGGACCAGTTTACAAACATATTCAAATTTTGGGATGTGTCTTTCCTGGGGACCTAGTGACAAGTTATTCCATTAACCTTTTATTAATGAATGAACTACAATATTCAGAATCCATTCTGCATATATTACTTGTTGCCATGTCAGGCAAGCTTTGGGCGAACTTTCAGGTATAGTGCCTTAGTGCCTATGACCACTGAATATTTTCAGAATGTAGCCTAAAGGAATGATCATAATTTAATGGTCAGTGGAATGCATCCGTAAATACTTGACTGAAAAAAGATAATGAACTAGAATAAAAATATAATCAAATCATATTTCATCATATTTAAGGAGGGTAGCTCCTTTAGCAGACAATACACCATTATACTTGGAGGCCTTCCGTATTATAAGTGCACACTTCAAGAGGTTATTCTTCGCTGTCATCCCAATTTTTTTAATTAATTGGGTAACATCACAATAAATTAAAATTCATTTCATTTACTTCTTTAAAAAAAAGGATGGTGAGGTGAGAAATAAAATGCTCCCCAGGCTAAGAATATGGACTATGGAATACAATAACACATTCCCTATCCATATCAAAGTGTATGCTCTATGTTCTCAACTCAGGGGTTGGTTCAATGGTTTGTTTCACCAGACTGGTGAGAAAGCATGTGTATGCTTGTAAATAAGCAACCAGGGGACAGACTGATGTACGTTCTCTGAATGAGTTATAGTATGGGCATTCAGGTTTTTTAACAGAATAAACTACTCACCTGTCTGAGCCATTCCATACACACTCAAACTTGTCGAATATGCAGTCATTCTCATAGAGAGAACATAGCTTGCTTCGTAGGTACTCATGGACGGGAAAGGTCTCTACTGGCTTGGTATCCATTAGAAGATCCCATACCTTATGACGTGAATAGCAGAAACAGAGAGAGGGAGGGAGGAGGGGGAGTAGGAGAGAAAGACAAAGAGAGAGAAGGTGAGAGAGAGGGAGCGAAAGGAGGTAGAGGGAAGGGGGTAGAGGGAAAGGGGAGGGGTAGAGGGAAGGGGGAGGGGGAAAGAAAGGGAGAGGGAGAAAGATAGAGAGAGAGAGAGAGAGAGAGATGGGAATAAAGAGGGAGCGTAGGGAAAGAGATGAAAAGCAAGATAAAGACAAAGCATGAGACATTGAGAAAGAGGAGAAACAGAGAGAGAGAAAGAGGAGAGACATAGAGAGAGAAACAGCGAGAGAAACAGAGAGAGAAAGAGGAGAAACAGAGAAAGAGGAGAGACATAGAGAGAGAAAGAGGAGAGACATTGAGAGAGAAAGAGGAGAGACATAGAGAGAGAAAGAGGAGAGACATAGAGAGAGACAGCGAGAGAAACAGAGAGAGAAAGAGGAGAAACAGAGAAAGAGGAGAAACATTGAGAGAGAAAGAGGAGAGACATTGAGAGAGAAAGAGGAGAGACATAGAGAGAGAAAGAGGAGAGACATAGAGAGAGGAGAGGGAGAGGGAGAAGCAAGAAAACATCATTATTATTTCATTTCACATAAAACTGCCACAAGTGCCACAAGTGCCACAAATGAAATTAAAAAAATTGACAATTTCTTATGTTTCATAATCAAGTTACAGTGCATTATATTTTTTGTCTGATAAAAAAATGTAAATAAATTACCATTCAAATGTACCCTGCAAACAAAAAAGTTTCTCTTCTACCCATCTCCAATCCTCACATCATACATACATGTAAACAAACACAATTATATCACATTAAACACAAAGACATACAGGGTAGTCAATCAAAAAAAATTACAACAGTATACAAAGGGTTTTATTCCCCCCCCCCCCCCAATCAAAAGAAAGAAGAAAATATCCATAAATAGAAGATTAATTGCACCTCCAGCAGACAATGTTGAATGGTATCATATGGTTGACTACACTTGATGGCTTATGACTGTATGAAACACATCATGTTACAGTTGAATGTCTTCTCTGCATGCGTGTATGAAACACTAGTGTTATGGATGGCTTCCCATTGCTACCACCACACAACACCTCCATGTACACAGCATGGTGGCAGAAAGGTTAGAACAATACAGCCATAAACTGGGGGCATATTGTATGACATGCACTGGGTGGGTGTTTGGTGATACAGTACATGCAATAAGGTCACTTAAAAACAACGGTTGATTTCATCGACCCAAGTTAGAGGTGCAAGCAGGAAATTGACAGATATGCAAAATGTACAGGAAAGGAAATCCTGTTGTAAAGAAGCTTTAGATTTAGAACCTACTGCATTGCTTCAAGTTGGCTATTCAGGATATGATTCCAAATTGAAAAAAGTCAGAAACAGTAACTAGTTGGCTCCTCAATCGTACATACACTGGGCCGTATGCATAAAAAGTAGCAATTGCTTGTGCTAGCCTTTTACTTGAATCCGTATGCATAAACATAAGCAATTGCTTGCAAGCAAATGCTTTTGCTAGCAAGCACAAGCAATTGCTTGATGTCCGCAAGCAATTGCTTAAAGATCAAGCAATTGCTTAAAACCGTATGCATAAAACGAACCTTTTGCTTGTTCTTATAAGCAATTGCTTACGTTTTTTCAAGCTCCGTCATAGCAGCTTGAGCTCTTGCTTAATCGGGACGTTCGCGGTTAAGCATCATGTTTATGCTCGTTAGAGAAAAACCAAAGTTGTACAGGAGTAGAATAAATCGAGAAAAAATTGTTCCCGAGACCTATCGGAAACTATTCCGTTTCGACAAAGAGAACGTTGAGTGGTTAGCACACAGGTTCATACCTGAACATGATGAAAAACGGGGAGGATGTCTGACAACGGTGGAGAGCATGGAGGCTACCCCACACGCATGACATTTGAATACACTACTAGTATGCGAAACCCGCCTTTGTTCTCCCATGAATGATGTTCGCACCGGCGTGACGTCGCTATTGTTGAGATCGTAAGCAATTGCTTGCTGGAGGCAAGCAAAAGGTTTGAGCACAAGCAAAATGTTATGCATACGGATTTAAGCAATTGCTTGAGCTTGATCTTTTGCTTGACAAGCAATTGCTTGTGCTTGAAGCAATTGCTTGCAAGCAATTGCTACTTTTTATGCATACGGCCCAATGACAGACCATGACAAATATACAGTGAACTCTGTTGGGACCACAAAATATAATTTGACTTACGTAAAATTTGATTTTGGTAGAGTAAATGACACATTTCTTGCATACATGTAGTTTGGTCAAAAAAACTTATTTGACTTGTGTCACTTCATGAGCTCATGAACTTTCAGTATGTAGTGATGTTTTGGATTCCAGGGTATTGTTTAACTACATTGCTTTAATATCTGACATGTTATATCTAATCTAAAGAACTCCAAATCTAATCGACCAAACCAAGAAGGGAAGAATTTTGTGTAATGTACCGTAATCAAATTTAATGTATACGTCTTTATTGAGTTCCTCTTTACGAATGATTTCATTCACCTGCTACAAATAATTGTGTTTACAGTCAGGATGCGAAAGTAATAATGCTTGTCCTACACTGCAATGGCTAATGATGCAATTCCCACTCTAACTATTAAGATACAATTATTCGTAACAAGTGAATGAGATCATTCATCATGAGGAACTATGCATCAAATGTGATTACATAACAAAAATGGCCTAATTAACTTAGTCTGGGATGAGCAAACTGATATATGCTGAGCACAGGAGCTCTCCAAGTAAAAGGGAAGTTTTTATTCTTTGATGATTTGAAAGAAGTTTTATTTTAAAGGGCAAGTCCACTCCACTAAAACATACTTTCAATAGAAGCAGAAAAATCAGACAAAACAAGTTCGAGCAAAATCTATAACTAATAAGAAAGTTAGGAATCTTTGATGGCATGAAAAACTTGAAAATCACAAGACAAATTGGCAACTCGCTCTATGTACATATCTAATAGATGAGAGAGTATTGCCTTACCTTAACTGAAAGGTAGTCTCTTGATATAAGATATCTACCGCTGTGACTAAACCTGACATCTGATATTGATGATATGATTTCTGAGAAGAATGACCTATTGCTCGGATCCTCCGGTTCTTCAAAGACTGCAAAACAAAACAAAGGAACAATTAGATAAAACAAAACTGGCGTTATATTTCATATTGATCCACAGGAGGATCATTCAACCATGCTTTCGCTAAATCGAGGCCATCATCAATTTCAAGCTTACCACTCATGATGGCGGTCTCCTGCATTTTCTGTATTTTTATCTTTTTTCATTGAAAAATATTTGTGTTTGTATGCATCTTATTTAGTGTACTTAAAAATTTATAATTGTGTAAAATGAAGAAAAAATTGTTACTTTATGTAAATGATTAATATGTTCTACTTTGAAAACGCAGAAGTAACAAACAAACAAACAAACAAACAAATGTTCACATAGGCACTTGTAGTTATGTTTGGTTCAAAGCTTCATAAAGTTGAACACAATTGATTGCAAGTATTTTCATGGTTCCTTTTGAATGAATGCGGCAAAATGTACCCAACATCTTTATCGACAAATTACACAGCTCTTAGTTTTCTATGAAAACACTTAATGAACCTTACAGATAGACATTTGACAAATTTGGAAAGGTGAAGGTCTGTAAAGAAATGTAATGAATCATTCTGAGCTGTTTTGTTTCTCTGTGAAGGAACAAAGATGTTAAAAGAAGATGAAATATTGTTGCCATAGCAACACTAAGGAAAGAATCCATAAAATATTCAAGAGATGCCACGATCTTCAATAGAGCAATGCTGAAAACTTACAAACCTTGCTTCAATCTACTTTCACATTATCTTCCCAACACTGAACTTACGTACCATGTAACTTGAGAAACACACAGTTCCATTTTAGAGTTAATAAACATCATCCTAAGTGGTTTTAAAATAAACTATGATTACATAGCAATTATCAAATGATGATTTAGAGACAGTCTTGATGTTGTGCTACTTACTTTTTGCGCTCTGGTCGCAGAGTGCCGACTGGCGCATGTCACATAACCTAATAGTTCCTTTGCTACTGCTATACACAAATAAATTACAATCCTTTGGATGGAACTCGGCCGCCGTGATGACCTCTGTTAGGTCCTCCATGTTGGCCGGTTTGATATCTACAATGTCTGAGAGGCTTAGGGTTAAGGTCATAACAACATCATTTCCAGTTTTCCACATATCGAGTAGTACTGCATTAGGCCTAAAAAAAAAGGTTGTTGTATTGCCCTTTGCGACTGACCCCAAAATTTTGAAATTGACGGTCGGCTTTTAAAAAAGGTTTTTTTCTTAATCGTTTTTCAGAAGAAAAAATGTATTAAAGCATTCAAAACTGAAAAATATCAGGCCACGGGAAAGAAAGACATGTAGTCTCGTCAGGCTACACTCCCTTTAAGAACCAACTCTCAGAGAAGAGAGTCCAGCGGCCACAGTGATAACGTTCTCTTGTGTTCTCTTTCCAGGCACAGGTAACAGGCGAGGCCAAATACACAATGACGTTGGTGATAAACACAATCATACTACTACTTACAATAATGACGATGATGATGATGCTAATAATAATCAGAGCTGCCAACCTTGTGCGACCAAAAAAAGGAATCATGATGGCAAAAAAAAGGAATTTCAAGCAAAAAAAAGGAATTCATGAAAACGAAACTTACAACCACGTGCGACACACTTCCAATACAGAAATGTTCATTAATCATGCTGTTTTTTCCATACAATAATTTCATTTTTTTGGTGGTTATTTTGGTATTATCGGCATTTCATTTTTTATGAGAATATTTTTCTCTTCAAGTATGTTTTAAAATTAGTTTTCTATTGAATTTGTGATCAAATCACCATTTTAGAGCAGTTGTTTGACGTGCGGTATGTAAAAAAAAAAAAAAAAAAAAAAAAAAAAAACAATTAAAAACAATTTTAAAAATTATTTAAAAAACGTATTTTATGAAGAAAAAACGTAATACCATAATTTGGAGGAAAAACAGAGTAATTCCGGCAAAAACGAAATGGTTGGCAGCTCTGAATAGTGTAAAATTGTAAAAGGCATAGTAATTACAAATTAAATCTCTATGCATTTTACATTGTAAGCCTGAATAATATTATCATCACAATCATAATAATGGTGATGGTGATAATGATAAGAAAATAGTTTTTTATCCTAATAATAATAATGAATAATTTTTTTCCCCTCAGGACTGAAAAGGATACTGAAGCTCTGATCAGTGATGCCTAGATGCCAGAGGTTGATCCGGAGGTCGTCGGCCGATATGTATGTCTCGCCATCGCTGTTGACGGATATTGAGTTGATGTGGTAGGTGTGGGCGTTGGCAAACACTCTCCTGGGGCTGGCCTCCACCATCAGCTCCATGGGCTCCACCACGGGTAACCTGACCGAGGTGACGTTGGTCGGGTCCAGGAGAACCCCGTCCTCGCCCAGCAGGTTGGAGCCGGTCCACTTCTTGTCCCGCTCCGAGACTTTCCATAATTTGACAGTTTTATCTGGAAAGGGAAACGAGAGAGTGCAGCATGGATAGAATGATGAAAGCCATTGGTATCCTTTAAATGTAACTTTGCTTTGACAGGGATCCTAAATTAAATGATTTTTAAAATCAGTGCTCATAATAAACAGGAGAGGGAATCAGGCTTTGATGTATTGAAATAGCCCCTGCAGCGCTTCTTATACATGTCTGATTTTTTTTCTTCCCTTTTTTTAAGACCAATGTACTTTTTTTTATCTTCATCTAGGGCATTTTGTTTTAAAATGAAATTTGATAAGAGCCATCTGTAAAAATAACTATTACATTGAGAGATGTCCGAAATTAGCTGTATACAAACAGATTAATAATAATAATAATAATTTTATATAGCGCAGCTTTTATACAAAATATATTCAGCTGCGCTGGTTAAGAGCTCCTTTTTTACTAAATTCTACAAAATAAGATCTCTCAGTTGAACAAATAAGTTTTTAAATTGGATTTGAAAACATTGAGAGATGGAGTGCTTCGTATTTCTATTGGCAAGCTATTCCATAGTTTGGGGACAGCAATAGCAAAAGCACGGTCCCCAAGAGTTACTTTAGTTTTGCCATGGGAAATCTGAAACAATAATTTCTCTGTGGAACTGCGCAGGCTACGACTGTGTGACTGGACTTTGAGTTGAAGTAAATCTGTGATGTAATTAGGAGCTTGACCACTCAATGAGAATGGATCCTGTTCAAGGCATAGAATTAGGCTAGTTAGCACAGCAACAAAGGCAACATTTTCATTCCTCTAATATTAAAGATGAAGTTGAGTTCTGGTCATGCGATTGCATTGTGAAATAAACGTTGTGAAATCGATCAGAAAAGGTTGATCATCTAGCATATAAGTATTGGTGTGTACTGCAAGGTTCTGGAATCATCAAAATGATAAGAAATTTGGCCCAGTCTTGATAAAGTTACAAGCACTGTACACAGAAAGATGTATATAGGACTACGCACACGTGCGCGACACGTGCGTAATATCTATCACGTCCAAATAGATAAACTAATTTACCAAATATATCAATAAGTAGGCGGCTTCTCGGCAAAATTTGTATCATCACGTATTAGTCAAAACATATTCTTTCACATGATTGGTAATAAGAGCTACCATTTCATTTTTTGAGAGGGGGGCATTTCCAAAACTGGTCGATACCTTTAATAGGTGTCACTTATCAATCTTTTAAATGTTTTGTGTAATGAACCTTATACATATTCATGTTTTTAAATGTTGACTATGGCCTTATGGGCATGCAAAAAGGATGGAAGCATATTTTTTATTTCAAAAACCTACAAGCGTCTGCACAGGTATTTTATTGTTTTTCTTATGAATTCATACTGTTGTTACTGTTGTGTACCGGTAGTTATGATTTTTTAATATAATTTCACCTTGCTGTGTCATTTGCCATCAAAAGAATATCTCAATGTACAAGGTTCAAGGATCAATCAGTATACTCACCATTTGTTGAAAGAAGAAAATGTGCGTGATTTTGCCTGGGAAGCCATTTGATTTTGTTAATTTTTTCTTCTATTTCTAAACTTTTGAGATAGTCAAATTCAGGCTCGTGGCTTTGGAAGGTGCTGTACACATTGTATTCACCCCTCGGTGGTGTTGAATTTCTTGACTGCAAAAAATAAAAGGGATGAGAAAAAGAAAGGTGGTAATAAAGTCATGAAAGGAGGAGTTTGATTTAAAAAAATGCTAGAATATGCTGCAATATCATGTGTTTTGATTAGGATTGGAGCCGACCTGCCAACCTCTGGAGTTTAAAAACTGTATTCTTTAGTCCAAAAAGTTGTATTCTTAAAAATGAACATGGACTGTTACGCAGATCAATGCCTCTTACAATTCCTCATACAGGATTTTTTTTTTATGGATCATTGGTTGAATATGCATGATTTCGTCACGACTGGTGAGTTCGATGAATCAATGAACATCCCCAAATTGCTGATGTGAGATGCTTGTAGGATACTTTACAGGACAGAATGGGCATTTTGCCATTTATTTATTTACTTTTTTAAAAATCCTATTTTATTGAGGAAAATTGTACTGTTGTATTTGCTTCTAAAAATTGTACGAAATATGACTAAATCGTACTGGTTGGCAGGTCTGTTGGAGCAATGTTAACTCACACACTTTCAAACAGTTTATGATACCCTTGTGACTCAAAACACACACTATATTATTTGATGGTGGATGCCCTGGTTGGATTTCTACACTTGTTCCTCTCTCCGACAATCCCTAACATGGGAAGGAGAAGCCCAATTACAACTTCACAAAGGCAAAAAAAAAACATAAGGAGGTGCAATGTAGAAGACAGACCAAACAAATTAGAATTAATAACAATAACAATAATAATAATGATTAATAAATAAATACATTAACAAAATTATTGCAAGCAAATAATTTCAACCATAAAAAAGAGATACAATTTAACATGAACAAATCAGTACATTACACTAAAGGGATAGATATTATTATTTATAATTAGATCCAGTTAAGCTTAAAAATCGCCTTCTTAAAAATTGTTACTTATAATTCTTTAGTCACAAATTAACAATTATTAAAAATGAAGTGCAATTAGACAAGAGAGAGACAAAGAGAGAAAGGGGGAGGAAGAAAACGAGAAAGAGAGAGAGAGAGAGAGAGAGAGAGAGAGAAAATGTGAATATTATAATTAATCTTCATATAGTGTACATTTCTGTACATCCATTGGCTACACATTATGTAGTACTGTGTACAATAATGTACAGTTGCATGCCGGTGGTATGTGATTTCCTTTACAGATCTAGCATGTCATTGATCCATTTCACTTCTCTTCCCCTTGCGCAAAAAGGATGGATCCGAATAAGGAAATCCCTTGCCTCAGGCCTCAGACACACACCGATATGTCCATGTACATGTACTTGCATACACACAATCACAAGCCCTGCTTGATATTACAATCAAATCAAGCCAAATCTTACACTAAAACCACTGTATACAGTAGGTATAAGTACATGTAATGTACATGTACATGTAGATAGATAAACTGCTCATCAGTGCAGAACGGGATTGAGATGTTCTAATAATAATGCGTAAGGACAGAGCAAAGACACATTTATTCAGTGGACTATTTTCGTAATGTAACCAATACCGTCACATCACATATTATTTCATTCATCTGTTACGAATACTTGTATTTCAGTAGTCAGAATGCGAACTGCATATTAGTTGTTGCCGGGTAGGGCAAACATTATGGCTTGCCCTACCTAACAACACATTTGCATTTTGCATAGTCTATGAAAAATACAGCTCATCATTTTCAATTTGTATCAAGTGATAGCCACGTAAAACTCATTTGTACTCAACACATTAGGGATGATTTGCTCTTTTCTTTAATTCTTCATGACAATAAGTAATGTTAATTTGTTACATTTGTAAGTTATGTTAGTAATATATTGTATTCTTGGTAATTTGAGTAGTGTTAATTCCATCAGTAATATTGATTTTTCTTAAAGTAATTTTTCATTTCTGTACAGCGCTTTGAAACTTTTATGTCACAAGCGCTATATAAATTTTTCGTATTATTATTATACAGGGATTATCATAAAGACATCTGCCAACAACCTGCACATTTAGGTCAATAGATCAAATGTAAGAGTTTCAGGAAGTGTTACAGAATGAAATATATGTATTTATAAATGTACATACATGTATATGTAAATGACCAGGAAATTAATACATATAAAATTAATGACATCATCATATACCAAGAATTGGGTGGGGCATTTTTCGAGGGTCATCCAGACTGGAAATTTTGAGGTCTGCATGCATGAGCCCAATATCAAAATATTAAAATTTAGAGGTCCAGATTTAGATTTTGGGCGGCCACGTGTCCCAGATGCCTGCAAACAGTTGATCAGCTCTGGTCAGGGTTAGGGTTTAGGCTTAAGGGTAAGGTAAGGGTTAGGGTAAGGTAAGGGTTAGGGTTAGTGTTAGGGTTAGGGTTACATGTACTTGTATAATGGGGTATTCCACAGTTGTTTGAACAATTCTTACCGAGTCTTCTCGTTGAAAGATTACTACTCTCCCGCCTTTATCACCTGTTGCTAGTAGTTCGCCATCATGGTTGAATTCACATGTTGAGATTATATCGGCTGTCAGAGTAAAAATAACAAAATTGAGAAATTATGATTTGTTGAAATGACATTGACTGTCCAGTAAACAAACAAATCACCAATTTAGAGAGCCATAAGAGTGTTAACTTACTACACGTGTAACTCTGTATTAAAGTAGTTAGTACATGTACAGTCAAACCTGCTTTGGTGACCACCTGTATAGAAAGACCACCTGTCTACAAAGACCATATTTTTTGTTTCCCTCGAAAATGGTTTCTCATTGAAACATGTACTATAGGCACCTGTACATGTAATGTACATGTACACCTGCCTATAAGTAAAGACCACTTTTCTGAGTTACATGTTACAATGCCCTTGTGGCTCCAAACAGACAACATATTTGTTGTATTTTTTAATTTAAAAAATGGCCACCAAGTATTCGCCTGTAAGCCTGGGAGTGTACTTGAGTACCTCATTACATGGTTATGCACAGCCTTAGTACATGTATGTATGTATCATAATAAACTTGTGTACATGTAGACAATTTAAGAAAATAATACCAAGGTGAAAAAAGGGTTCACAAGTAACTCGCTTCCTGAGGAAGGCCACTACAGCAACACTTCCTTTGCTAGCTCTATACATGTACATGTTCATACTGTACATTGTGTACATGGATATGATGTGCACAGGATACAACTCCTTATATTTTATCAATTGAATGACCTTTACACAATGTATTATTCAAGGTGCTTTGAAATCATGACTCACTTGTAAATCTTTACAATATAATGAATAACAGCAATCTTTAAATTTATCTTCCTGGTTTTCAAACAGAAAGGCATCGAGATGACAAGTACTTTGGCTATCTACATGTACATGTACATGTACATGTACATGTACATGTAACAACAGATGGCTCAGTGGAAGAGCAGTGGTCTCATAACTGGGAAGGTTCGAAAGTCAAAACACAGTCGATTCTCGATTACAATGTCCCTCGGAGAGGAGTTAAGACTGCCGGTACTTGGGTTGATTACGTATAAGCATAATACATGCTTTCTTTATAGCGGTCAGGTAAAATAATCATCAAACATCAAATATGTAAGCTTTGTTTTCCCCCTAGCTACATGTATCACTGCTTTTTTTTTGCCTTGAGCAAGTGAGCTTCATGTACATGTACATGAAGCTCACTTGCTCATACAAGTGATGGCAACATGTAATTCTACTGGCACTGTCATAAATTCTCTCTTCCAAAATAATTGAATATTAAATACAATAGATCATTACAAATAAAATAACAATTTGCAAATCATACATGTTACATACAGGTACGTTCACTTCATTACACACTTTAGTATATTGCTGAATACACAGTCACAGGTCTAATGATCTTAATACATGTTCATGTATGTGCAATGTAGTTAATGATGAATTTCTGTGCAACAAGTTCTTATTTTCTTAATTAACCCAAATGTACTCTACTCTACCAGAACTACCTCCTCCACTTGTGTTTAAAGTTTCATTCAGCTGTTTGTGTACAGTCATTCTGAATTCGAATTGACGAATAATCCACCACATAATGAGCAAAGACACATTTTTTTTTTCTCTTCTCAAAAGAACCCTTCTCATCCCTGTCTCTCTCTTTCCCATCCTCTGCATAATAATCATATACTCTGATGGAGAAGGAAAGTGGTTTGCTGCTGGCAGGCTTGCTGCCTGCCTGCGTGGGTGTACGGGCGGGTGGGTGGGTGGGCATGCAGCTCACTGACCTGGGGAAATCATACATTTGCTGTCTTCTGCAGGGAATGTCATCATATCTCAGCACGACACCAAGTGTGTAATGAATGAGTAGTGTGCAGTAGTACATGTAAGTAACATGTAAGACACTTGCTCAAAAGGCATTGTGTAATTGAAGGGAACCTCCATCTACCTCCAGGAAGATTGTGCATTTATAATTGACATTCTCTTAATGTTTGTTTACTCATATTTACATTGTTATATTTTTTGTGAATTGCCGAATAAATAAAAATAAATAAATAAATAGAACAATTTAATTTACGATTTTGTTATGATGAAGAGCAGTTTCATACTGCTTATGATTTTCATTCAACTAGAGTACCGTATAAACCAAATCAGCAATCTGTTCACAGAGTGAGGCAAGGCCCACATTTAAAAAAAAAATATGATTCAATCCCTTTTGAGATGGGAAGGTCCTTTAATCCAAGACACCATTCCTTTAGTCCACATGTACTTCATTGCAGAACCTAGAATCCTTTATAAATCATTAGTCTACATTTAAACACACCTTGTACCACAGGTATTTCTCTTACCACCTTTTTCTGAAGGCTCAACATATTTTTATGAAGCTCTGATGTCTAAACCTACATGCACATTTTTTTGGATAAACTCTTTGAATTTACATTGGTTTCATTCAATTTTTAGTTTCTGTAAATAAATAAATTGATTTTTTTTTCTTTCTTCATTACATCGCTCTCCAACTAGAAAACATGTGAGCTCTTACAACAAACATTAAGAATAAACAGTATTCAATTAAACAACAACTGTACATTGAAGGTACGCGGACACCAACGATCAACTGTGTAATGACATATTTCTTCAAATTGGTACCCATACACGTATGAGCTAATGCCTTAGTGCACAGAGTGCCAAATGCAAATATTGTGCAGTAGAATATCTAGCCTCTTTGACCTACTTCTTAACTACCCATTTTCAATTCATGCATTTGCTTGGTTAAGCAGGACAGTTGGTCGCTGCCGCCGCCGCCGGTCGCAACACAAGCCACCGTGCAAGAAGTCGTCGTCGGTCCAGTCTATTTATGCTACTTTGACATTTAGAGATGTGTGGGGGATGATGCAGTGTCCTGTAGCACCTGATTTCCAGGATGAGTATCTCAAGTTTTTTTTCTTCAGTTCAAACCTTACCCATATTTTATCAAGTACTGAATTATGATGAGTCCATGTGAAAACTATTTTGTTTAAAGGACATTAAAGGTCAACTTTTGAGGATGCTAAGATTTGTCCAAGTTTAAAACCTGTATAAAAATAAAGTCTTTGACTTTGTAAGTTCACTGATCATGCATGGACGTACGACCATGAAAATCTAAGATATAATTTACTTTAAAAAAGGTTGATGTGAATGATTAAATATTTCTCTACATGATCAAGTCAAAATGCTAATTATCATAAATTGTATATTTAGGGTTATACTTAGAACTCGGAGCAACAAAGGATCTCTTGTGGATAAAAGGGAAACAAATATTTTGAAACCTGATTCTCTTTTTTTTTTAATAGTAGAAAAAAAATTATGACAAAATTTAGACTGTAAGGGAAGGAGTACAGAGTCATTTACATACATCCACATCATGTTTCTATAATTTTCCTCATTCGACATTCAAGTTGAATAAATCAGAATTCAGGTTTTATTGTAAGAGAAAAGACAATGCCTCAAGTGTTGAATTAATCGATTCAAAACAGCAATTAGTGAATGTTATCATCTGAGGGACAGCTTCCGGGAAACCCCCCTTAGTTCCTGAATGATTACCCATAGTCGTAGGTAATGTAGTTTACAATGCAGGGACTGACATTTCAGTTATAATGGCTTGGAGCGATATCCAAATGTTTTGTACATATACATGTATACAGTATCCCGGTTTGGTTTATTGGGAGAATGCACCCACACAAGTGAAGCTTCGTTCACATATGATGTCGTAAACCTCTTCCTCCTCATTCTTCCCCCCTCCTTCTCCTTGTCCTTATATTTATTCTCTTCTTCCTCTTTTTCTTTTTATTTCTTCTTTGTCCCCCTCCCCCTCCCTCTCCTCTTTCGTCTTTTTCTTCTTAACTTTCTAAGCATGGCAAATCTTTGTCTTTGTGTTTGGAATTCAAAAACTGTATTCTTTAATCCTAAAAGAATAGGCAATTGCCATTGAAAATGGCACACACCCAAAAATAAAATTAATTAAAAAGAATTTAAAAATTGTAAATTTGTATTTTATTGAGGAAAATCGTACTATTGTATTTGCTTCTTAAAATGGTACGAAATACGATAAAATCGTACTGGTTGGCAGGTCTGCTTCGCGCACATGAAAAAATTTGCAGTATCAGAGATTCAGAGTACACCATGGTACAGTAAGTGCAAATGAATGGCCAGTCTACAGTACTCGTCATATGATTTTGGTGCACATGGCAGTTTTGTGAAAAGAGTTTTACTAATAATAATAATAATAATAATAATCTTTTAAAGTTCACTCCAAATGTTATTAATTTAAACCGAAAATGGAAATTCTTTTTGCCCAATTGATTGTGAGCCCGGCAGCCACTGAGCAGCACCAGATCGATGTTGATCTATCCCTTACTGTTGAACGCCAAACAAGGTAGCAGCAACTCCCGTCTTTTAACGTCTTTTGGTATGACGCGGACGGGGTTCGAAACCACGAGCTCCCGGTTGTGAGGCGGATGCTCTACTTAGCAAACTGTCCCCAAATTCCCCTCTTCACTAATGGATTGCCATTCTCATATGATTAAAACAGAGCACAGAGAGTTGAACCCTACAACCATGACTGCATGACAATAGACCAGTTCACGGTTAGCACATGGCTGCAATGACCCCAAATATCCACAGATCTTCAAAACATGAAGAGGTCCCACTTTGTACATTTTTAAATAATCACTCCTACAGAGGTGCTTCATAAATAGCCTTTGTTTTCCCCTTTCAAAGAATACTTCCACCTGTGTATCAGGGAGTGCACTGCTTGTGCATGAATAATGATTACATACTGTAACTTTCATGAGCACATATCCAGTATTTCGTCTCTGTGTAATGTGTATTTCACAATCTGTTCTGCAATGACCTTTATCTGCTCATGCTCAGACTGCAACCGTGAACTGGCTTATTTGGTAATAATCAAATTCTAGAAGAACTTACCTTCAGTAACATCATCATCTACGGTTCCTTTGACTTGAGAAAAGCACCATTGCACCTCGCCGCTTCCTGAAACTGAATATAAGACAAAACACCAAATCTTAGCTGGAATCGTATTTTGAAAAGTCAATGAGTTTCATCGTTGTCATGAAAATGTCGCTCCAAAAGCAGCATCATTATAATGAATGATCAAGTAGGTGGTTTATACAAATCTAAACTATTTCAGTAAGTGTTGTTACATGCTTACTGGGTATGCTAGCCAAGTTGTTAAGGTTGCTGGTTCCAAAGAATTCTTGATTTTGCGATGATGCTCCTTGTAGGGTTTCTGAACGATTTTGATTTGCAAGCGTATGCGTGTTGCTTAGCTGCATGAGCCACTAGAGAGTGATCGCAAGCTTCACCTCCGTTGTCTTCCGTGTGCAGGTCCCTTCGCCAATTGACAAACACACACACACGGTCAGAATGCATGCATGTGCAGATTCTACGCGCCGTCACCATGGGCTTGGGCTGAGCAGAGCTCATGCCTCCCTACTTAGCTGACCCGAAAAATGGGGGGAAGGGTATTTTCAAACTGTAATGGCTTGTGATTTCCTGGGGCTAGCAAAAAAAAATAAGTTCATGGATATATTCCTTACAGCTAGGCCTGTAACCAATGATCGGATCGGGGGCCGATCTTGAGCCGATCAGGTAATCACAAGAAGTTTTGATACGGATAGCTGTTGCAAAGCAAGTTCAGACTAGTCTCGGAAAATGCGCAGTGCTCCTCGTTAGCTGTAATGCGTGCCAGAACGAATCCAAACAAAGACGTGATCGTAATGAAAAAAAAATCATTAAAAACTACGAGAGCACAATTGGAAAGACAACTACTGCTCATACAGGTAATTACCATAATCAGATACGTAACTTGGACGAAGATCGACCGTACCGACTCAAGCCTACTATCAATTGCTTTAAAAAAAATGCATAGCTGGGATTATTTTGTCATTTGGAGTTGTTGTAGACCATATGTGTTGATATTTAGTGCCTTTTCATGACTTTGAAATTAATAATATTCTTCTTCCTTTTGAAGTACAGACCTCTTTACAGAGTATTATCATACTATACTGGGGGTGTGTGCAGGTGGACCACTACACCGGGGTTTCCCCCTACTCTTATACGAATAGTGCAGTTCTTAACGTGCAAAGGTAGTGACTCTTCTCTACACGGGGCCTCCATTTAAGGTCCTATCCGAGGGACATAGTGTTTTCCACTTAACATCACCTGCGTCTATGAACAAGGGAAGGGGCACATTAACACACAACGCAGGCTTCAGTCTTCCGCCTGGGTGGGAGTCGAACCTGGGATCTTTGGTTCAAAAGGCGAACGCTTTACCGACTGAGCCAACTTGCCTCTAAGACTAAGAGAAGAGGCAAAACGTGCGGGCCGCCATCTTGGATTATAATAATGTGGGCATGCATGCATAGAGGATGTGTGCAATCTCTATCATCTATGGGGAAGGATTTTAGCACATAAAATCAAGTGGGCGATCATTAAGACACCTTACTCTAGCTCCTTGATGCATTTCATATTCACTTTGCAGAGACCTTTCACTTAATGACAGTGAAGTGGGGGCATTTATTACGAGGAATCCGTTTTAAGCATTGCCATCACGCGGATTGAGAACCCTACACTGGCAGAGCACCGAAGAAAAAAAATGTCTGTAAAAATGCGGACGATCAGGACTTATTTCTGAGGACGCATCGTTCCGCGTTTACGAAGATGATCCTAGTTCATGAAGACGATCCTTATTCTCGGACTAGCGCCCCTACTGACCATCCTTGCTTCACAATCTCACATTCTCAGTCTAGATCTAGACTCTAGTCAGGATTCCACACGGTTTTTATTTCAAATATCAAACAAGTTAAGCTACACTAGGGTGTCTGAACGATTTTTCAATTTTCAATTTGGGATCGTTTTTCACCATTTTTGTTTGATATTTAAATGAAAAGTGTAATCAGAATAATACATTTCAAATTTGAAGCTTCACCGATGTTTCTATCAAAAGATACAGCCCCTCCAAAACGCTGGTATATTCATATCATTTTGGTCAAAATCAACGAAAAAGACGTCCACGCAGAATGATGTTGTTTTGCTAAATTTAGCCAAACAGCTGTATCGCGCGATATGCAAGCGAATGCATATCGTACGCATGTTGCTAAGCCAATGCGCAACTTACAGCTTGAGCCACGTTGTCTCCGCGATGCCTGCCATTGACTAGTATGGCTAGCCGTTCGCGCCAAAAAACCAGGAAGTAACTACACGTTATAGTCAATGGCAATATCGCGGAGACAACGTGCGCGTTGTCTCAGCGATATTGCCATTGACTATAACGTGTATTTACTTTTGGGTTAATTGCGCGATTGAGTAGCCATACTTTCATTCACTATAATGTGTAATTGAATTTCGGGTTTCGTTCGACGCGGAGATGTTACGCGATGTAACCATGGTTTGGACTGAGCGGAGCGCACGCCCCCTAATTAGCTGATCCACCAAATAGCGGGAAGGGTATTTTTAAACTGTAATCCTTTGTGATCCCTGGGAGCTAGCGAAAATATGAGCACATAGAATTGTTCCTTAAATTAGGACTGGGACCGGGGCGTCATATCTCAAAAGTGGCAAACCTCAAAGTTAGCCAGTAGGTCTACACGATGTTTAAATTGCTGTTTTGTCCGAGATATTTTTAGAATTTCGATATGACCCCCCTTTGGAAATATTGGAATTCACTTGCTCTTTCATATTATGACACCTCATTTATTGAGTAAAACCTGGCTTCAGGATCACAACAGATAAAGGTTTAGACCCTAACTCTTGAATTGAAAAAAAAAACCTCGACTTTTTTTGCATGGTCGCGCAATGCACGTAGACTGCATAGGGATGCGTGCAATCTCTAGATCTAGGCCTATGGGAAAAATTTTAGCACACAACATCGGGTGCGCGAACAGACGCCCTAGCTTCACTTTGAATTGATCGAGTCCGACTAGTCTAGACTAGAGTAGAGTCTCCGGTTTGCGGCATCGCCCGGTTTGCGGCCAGGGGTATTTGTTTTAAAAATAAAATGAATATGACTCGATAATAATCGTTGAAACCTACCGTGGATTCCACGGTAAGTTCTGCTTTGCCGAAAACGTCCGTAGCAGGTGCTCCTGTCGGTACGGAGTATCCGTCAGCGATGTCGGAAATCTACGGCACCAGTCGCCGATGAAAATTCCAGCAGGTGCTAACTTTTAAGTTAAGAGATCGAGGCATGACTAGATCTAGTAGCTCTATTTGTCCGATATTTGTCCGATTGGAGGTGAAATTTGATGTTTTTGTGGAAGTATGATGGCTGTGGTCTGTCTCCTATCGCAGATATTTTGATTGTGCCACCGCATGGCCAGTTGCATGGGGTGGCCGCAAACCGGCACGTAATTACGTGTTTTTTCTGGTTTGCGGCGGGGGGTGTTAATACACACATAACATGCGGGATCGTGTATGATGGTATGTGTGCTGATGTGTGTACCCGCTATGACCCGATAGTTTCTAGTAGTACGTACCCCCGTATGGGATGATCCATTCGAGGAAAAGGTGAAATTGTTTTAAACTTGACAAATTTACCGTAGCAACAGATAAACATGAGAATTTGGGTTACCCGTAGTAATTTGGTACATGCTTTCATCGTGACGTAGCGCATAAAGCTTTGTGACGTACGCGTGCCGCAAACCGGTACTGCGTGCCCGCAAACCGGGGAACTCGAAGCATTTCGAAACGTGGTCAATGCTGACCACGCTGTGGGTCAGTTAAGTTATTTGTGACTTCTATTTAATAAGTAAGTATAGACCTATGGACTCTTTATTGAGGGTATTGAAGTATTCTGTGAGTATTCCAATAAAAATAGAATCGGCAGTTCCCGCCGATCGGCCGCAGACCGGAGCCACTACTCTAGTCTACGACTAGATCTACAGACACCTTGCTTTCAACATGTTCAATTTAAATCTAGATCTAGATCAGACTCTAGCCTACACAGAGCTTCCAAGTGTCATGCATTTTGAGGGTCTGAAAATGCTCTGTCTTACGCACGACGCGCACGCGCGATTTCAAAAAAATGCCTAGACTAGCCTACGCTTTACGCATCACGCACAGAACTGATCTTTGAAATTGACGTCTCTGACTACATAAGAATTAGAATCTAGATCTAGATGGTGATGATGATGATGATGGATCTAGAAATCAAATTCTAGGCTAATCCATTCCAATTCCACTTTTTTCCAACTCAAAATTGTAGATCTAGGTCTAGGTCTAGTCTAGACTAGGCTATCCGATTCTGAGACAGAGAAATAAACAAAAAACACAGATCAATACAATGCAGAGCAGAGACCAGAGTTTGTTGGTTTTTCATGATTAGCTCTTCGGATTATTGTCATACTCATAGTCATTTAGAGTTGGATCAACATTAATATTCTTTGACAGTATGGGATAGGAAGGTGTCATGTCAACGGCTTACAGCGGCTTAGCAGAGCGAGAGCTGTCCGCTCGGCTCAGCTAGCGCTACACACCGGTGACTTCACCGCGGGAGTGGGTAATTCAAATGTCGGAGCACCCAGTATCGGGACACAAAAATTAACTTACCGGCCATGGCGCTGGGTTCGAAAAAGCTCCAAAGGATATCCAGTATCCTTCCAAGATAATATTTACAACCCACGCGCGTTTCCAAAGATAAAGATGTATTTGATATTGAACCGATACTATTTAGATGAAAAATAGGGTAGTTTCATTTCAAAATGGCGCATTTCAGCGACGAATAACATTGTGACGTCACAGTCAACCTCGTTTCCAGACTCGGCTAGTTGTTGGTTAGCCTAGTCGACAGACAAGCATGCAAAGTGCGCGGATAGTTCAATTTTTTTTTAAAATCTCCATTAATGAACATTCAATTTCAATTCAATTCAAGGTATTTTATTCACTCATTGTAGCCAAAGGCTAAATTACAAATGAATTTACAAAATTCAAAACATTAAAAACATCATAAAAATTAAAAGGAATCATACACAATATTCTAAAAAATAAATATTAAATGCAAATGAAAGGAACTATAGATGTATAATGATAACATTATAAAAATATTGCTTACAAACAAAAAAAAATTTTGGAATCAAAATATAAATATAAATATTATTATCCACTTTCCATCAACATGTGTATTAAAGATAAACTTGAGTTCTGCTTTTTTTTTTTTTTTTGTCCCACTAAAATCGCAACGACTCTGCCAGCCGCTGAATTAGCGGGGGGGGGGGGGGGGGGGGGGGGGGGGGGGGGGGGGGGAGGGGGGGGGCACATTTTGTTTGGGTTTTTTTTGTCCCGAATATATGAAAATCGCGCCGGCCGCAAATTCGCTCAGGGAGGGGGGAGGGGGAGTGCACACTTTTTGGGGGAGGCCGGGGGGCACGTCCCTGTTTGCCAGTACATTTTTGGCGATTTCAGGGCTGATTTTAACACTTTTTTGGGGCCGCCTGTGCCCCCTGGATCCGTCCCTGTTACGACAACAAATACTAAACAGTTGTGGCCCTTATTTCCTAAAGCTCTTCTAATTATATAAGAATGAGGAACCCCTGTAATATTTAATATGAAGATCTAAGTAATACACCCAGTGTCTACACTTTTAAAAACGGTCGGGACAAGCCTGTGGACAAATACTGGAGAAGTGAACGTAAACTTGAAGTGAATTGAAAGTTGACACCGACCTATACCCCGTCATGATGGCAAACTTAAAACGACGACAGAATTTGGAACTGATAGAACTACATAATATAGAAATCAATGGATATGAATATACAATATGCAGAAAAATGGAAATTAATGGGATAAAAATTTATAAAGCAATTGATAAATAGTGAGGCAATGAAATCACAAACTGATAACCAAATTGGCTACTTGTGTAGTGATTTTCCAAGCTCCATAGTTTTTCATCCTTATTAGTTATTCGACTTTACTAACATTTGTTTTGCTCTGTTTCTCTTTTTTTTTCTTCTGAATCTATCAAAATCAAATTATTTTTTAAGCCTGTGTTGAGAGGTTTCCATAAGTATAATAAAGTAACCATAAATAAAAGAGCTCCTGCCAAAATTGAAATATGCCTACTTTTTACACTGATGAGAAGCGTGAATACACCTGTAGGCCCTAGCGATTTAAATGTAGGTTTAATACAATGGCTAAGTACAGACTGACAACATGGAGATGGCGCTAAGCAGATATAGTAGTATTTTCAGTATAAATGTATCATAACTTTTCAACATAGTCTGGCAAGTATTCAAAATGTATATAATCAACTTTATGATAAAATGGAACTCGCATTTCTCGAATGATGTGTGTTTCGAATCATTACCCTATTTTCGAAGAAGAAAAAATAAATAATAATTGTCCACATTAAATATCGCGTATACCGTATACATTAGATATCTTGGATGGTCTGGAGGGTGGGCGTGGTGGGATATGTAAGGTCTACCACACTTGTCAACATAGTCTGGCAAGGATTCAAAATGTCTGTATAATCAACTTTATGATAAAATCGAACTTCTATTTGGTACAACGCGAATTTAAGAACCAGCGAATATGTTATGGGGTTGCTCAGCGCAAAACAAATCAAAATGTCAAAATGTCTTTATCGCGTACCATATTACATTGGCGAACCTTGGATGGTCTGTGGGAGCGGGCGGGGTTGGGGTGGCAGGGATAGGTAAGGTCTACCACACTTAGGACCCCGGCACCCCCCCCCCCCCCCCGCCCCGCGAGACCTGAGAGAAAAATGGTACGGCAATTATTGTTGGCATATTCTTAAATATTTAGTGGCGGATCCAGAATTCATTGACGGCAAAGGGTAGAGGTATAGCCACAGGAAAAGAATAATTTATAAGGCATTTATTTTTTTATAAAAAGTGTTATTCTCCTGTCGTTTTATCATGAAAGGTCTACTTATTTGGAAACCATGATATTCCATCTCGAGTGTTTAGTATTCAAATTTAGGTTATCTGAATTTCTGGGTTGATATCTGACACAAGGTTAGGCCTATTATCGTTCTACTCCATCACTACTAAGGTCAAAGGGCGAAGGTCGTAGATGTGTCGTAGACTAGTTGATTAAACACTTGACGGGAGATGCGAAGGTCGGGGGTTCGATACCCGGCATGGCACTTAAGCAAAGTATTTAATTTACAGTGCTTCTCCCCACCCAGGTGCCTGAAGGATGCGAAAGTCATTGCAGTTTGTTCAGCATTGTGAGCGCCTGTAATAAGTGGCGCCTGGCTGGAACGCTCCACAGGGAGTGGTGAGTGTGCATGCATTGCGTGAGCTAAAGCATGCATGAATCCGATGACCAGGGTAATAATATTTCTGTAAAGCGCTTCAAGAGATCGTATACGTATTGGGCGCTGCATAAACCCACAATATCACAATGCATCTAATCGGGTATTTCACTGCTGTCAACACAGCTTCAACCTTCATAACATTTCGCCATCTGTACAATTATCAAAAAACGTGTATAATCTACGACATAGTATATCCACGTTTGAACTAAAGTGACACAAGCTTGCTAGTTTCTACACAATCACCCCCCCCCCCCCCCCCCCTCCTAACCACATCAAATTAGGCGATTTATGTGGTGTTCGGATTAAAGGCCAATAAAACCACAGAACAATCGCGTACACGGAAGCCATAAATATATTATACACTTCCTCGAAACGTGCGAATCAGTGGTTAATCCGCATTTGCATATAACGGTAAACAGAAATAATAATCCTTCTTCTTTCTCTGTCGGTTCGTGTTACAGCGGATATATGATGGCGGTCGGAAACCAGCGAGAAAGAGGCGGATAACGATTTTTATTTTCATTTATAATGCCCCATTCAAGGAATTTAATTTAGTATGTTGCCAAGATGGAAACGGATTATTCATGCTAAAAGTGTTTTTTTTTTGCATGGCTTAATTTTGACAAAAGTGATATGAATTTGACCAATACAGTAAGGAATGATACAGGATTTCTTTAGTCAAAATGCATCTAAAAAGTCACTGAAAGGAAAAAGACGGGGGTGTCACATTTTCGGGTATATTTTAAGACGAACATTTAAACGGAGCAAAGAAACACAATGGTCTTTCTTTTACTAAAATATAAACCCGACTCTTCCTAAAGGCCTTTTTTTAATTTTGTTTAAACATAAACGTTTTATAAATGAAAGGGAGTTAGTCTAAATTATTGAATTAGTATACAGAGTTTTTTACAGACCCCTACAGACCATTATGTACTAAAATTGATGTCGTTTTTGTTGTTGTTATTGTTGAGCTTTAGATGGCGCTCTTCAATCTTCTAAGAGTATCTGCGCCACAAACTTTCCATATTAATTACAAGTCAAGGTTAACTTGTTTTCTGCAACGTGCAAAATGGAATAATGTATTACTTTACTTTATTAGTAGTGCAACTAATTATCGTCTATATTATAATGTTAATGAGATAGTATAAAATATGCAACAACATTTTCTTGAACGAAAAAGCAAAGCAAAACAAAACAAACAAACCATTCATTCTTTACGAGGATACCAAATATTTCATTCTTTACGAGGATAACAAATACTTTATATATATGTTTATATATAATATACTTACTTATTCTTCGTTGCTGTTATGAGTTTATGTTCAATATTTTGTCATTATTATTATTATTATTTTTTGTTGTTGAAACTCTTGTTTCTTATTATGTTTAACAGGGCATCATGGACGACCACCATTATTGATGATATGAGTCACCCTGTCTAAATAGAAATAAATAAATAAATAAATAAATTATTGTCCTCACATTATATTTCTTTCCTATTTTTTTTTATTCAATCTTTTTTTAAATACTTTTTTTTTGTAATCACTCATATAAATCGTTTTGTTTACCTTATATGTAAGCCAATACAATTATATATTTCGCCTTATTCAAAATCGTACATAATTATAATTAATAGAGGATCTATTATTTAAATACCTTTGCATTGTTATATCGTTTACACATTTCAAGATATGCACGTTCGGTACCCAGAGGGGCACAGGCCTGTTAAGTGGTAGTCTATATACAGACAAAGATTACTCGATTTCATTACCAACTAACCCCCCCCCCCCCCACAACAACAACAAAACACGAAAAACGAAAAACGAAAAAAAACGAAAACGAAAAATCCGAGAACCCCCCCCCCCCAAAAAAAAAAAAAAAAAAAAAGAAAAAAAAAGAAAAGGAGAGGATTAATTACATGATGAAAGAATAACTGTCACGTTATGGAAAACTACTATTTTTCGTTGAGATGGATAGTATGTATGTCAACTTGAATGTATTTCAAGTTTAATATATATATATATATTTGGAGGGTGTTGTATGTTCTGAACTTTGTATGGGTTTTCGATTATGAAATGTATGCAAATTTATAATTGTAATTTACAAACTCGAGTCACAAGATGTTATACGATGAAGAATCGCTTATAATAGGGGTTAGTACATTGTTATTGTATATAGAAATGCTGTATTTTCTCCTCACTGAAATTTAATAAAAGTGTGAAGTGTTATGAAACAAACATGTACTATAGCATCATGTACTATCAAAACAAAATTGATTGATTTTTTTAATTTTTTTTTACCGGAACTCAATCTTCCCTCTAACTGATTTTATTAGAATGTTGAGCTGGATTTGACGAAAAGGGTAATTGTTCTTTAGGCCTTGGACGAAATTACTTCCATTGATACATTCTATAGGATGCGTGACATGCTGATTAATAAATCGACTCAATCCCTT